ACTTCTACTTCTCATATATGCCAAGTTTGTTTTTGTCTTCTGGGCCTTTACCTTCACTGTTCTGTCCATTTCTGGTTCCTTCTCATCCTTCATGTTTCTCTTACAGAGGCCTTCCCAGATGACACTTTCTAAAGTACTGCCCCCAAGCAACTCTCTCTTCCACTCCTCAGTTCATCATCCTGGATATTTCCCCATTACTATCAGAAGTTTGCTCCTTTACTGTCTACCATCATTAAAATGTGAACTTAAGTGTAAAGGGGAACCTTCTTTATTTTGCTCACCCTTATACCCAAGCATCTATAAGTATTTGCTGAATCAATGAATGAACGGAAAAGAAGAAAATGATTAGTAAGAGTAACAATGACTATAACTCGAAGATCCAGAATGGAAGTCATGGGAAGCACTGTGTCAAGTTCCATGGTTACCTCTGGAAAAGAGGATGGAAGAATTAAGAGATAAGCTGGAGAAACAAAAGGAATGAGTCTAGCAGAAAGGAAGGAACAACTCATTTTTAACTCTTGAGGTACTGTTTTAATAACTGGGGAAACACAAAGACTTGGTAGGGGTATTGCTAGCTTAAACTAAATTGATCTCACCCAGCCAACACTTGCACAACTGCATCACACAGCTATCAGCACAGCACTGTGCCAACTATAACCCATAAAGCCAGGCTCTTGAGTTTTTTCTGGACCCAACCTTCTCTTGCCTCTAAGTTCCCAACTGTCTTTTCTCCTGAATAGATACCAGAGCCCTAGTCCTATGGCAGTGAACTTCTAATATTTTCCTATCGGGGGCGCGGGTGAGGGGGGGTAGTTTAAGAAACTGGCAACACTGGCACAACAGAATAAACAGCTGACTAAATTATGACTTAAAACAGTACAAAGTTCACTCTAAGCTCCTGGAAGGCAGGGGCAAGATCTTACACATCTTTTTCATCTCCAACAGTTCAGACATCTGCTCTCAAACTGACTGAACAGAGGACACTTTGTGACCAGAGATCCTGCATTAGTTCAATCTATTAAATAGGTAATGATTACAGTAAATAAAGATGGATTAATGACCGGTAGGGCAGTGATTTCCTTTCTTAATTACATTTAAAATAATATATGGTATAGATTTCTATTTCCTCTGTATATTTAATAACAAAAAGGCCACTTTACCTAGGTTCCAAAACATTTTGTAAAATGGGAAAACTTTCCAAAAAATGAAGTCTGGGCTGGAATGAGTAATACAAACGTAATTTTAGCAAGCACATTAAAATATAAAGCGTTTTACAAATTAACTTTAGAGGGTGTAATTTAACTGGCTATTTTATTGCTAATTTAAAAGGTTAGTATTAATTACATCAACTTAGGGGGAAAATATTTTTTCTTTTTTAAAAATTAGGTATACCAGGCTATTAGTATGAAAGGCAAGGAAAGCCTTATAACTTTTTACCTTCTGATTGGTAGATGTTTTTACTTGAGAAAGATAAAGCTTTCAAAATGACATCTCTGAGAAATGAGGTTAAAATTGGTATATAGTTTCCTACATACAGTATCTAAACACACAAAGAGCAGCTTTCGGAATTAGCTTATTATGTCATTTACAACACCTATTTAATAGTATAAATTTACAATTAAGGAATTGGAGTTTGGTATAATTTCAATCTACTCTGTAGTTCATAAATTTAAACTGGACATCTTTTCAGTCTTTAACAGGTATATACCCTTTCTATATCAATGCTGTTCTTAACTTGGATTTGGAAATAAATGTTTTCTACCTCTAAAAGTCAATTAAAATTCAGTAATCAAAGTAACTGTATACTAACTTTAATTACTATGCACTGTTAGTATATTTTAATAGTCATATCACTATACTCAACATTGTATGGGGGTGTTTTCAATCCTAAATACATACACTAGAAAATCTTATACATGAAAATGTGTTCAATTAGTATTTTAAGAGAAAATCTTTTGACCACTCCACTTGAAAACAACAAAAAGAATGAAAATGAATAATTCACTAAATAAAAACCAGTAAACATAAAAAAAGATATTCCACTTTACTAATAAGCAAACGTATGCAAATTAAAACAAGATTTATGTTTCATCTTTTAAGGAGGAAAAGATGCATCAACAATGGTAAAATTGGTATATAGTTTTCTTATAGGAGGAAATTATCCTCACACAATTGCAGGACTAAAACTGATATAATCTTATTGGAGGGAAATTTAATAGGTATCAAAGTTTAAAATGTATATACCCTTCCACCAAGCAATTTTACTGGTGAGAAATTATCCTAAGGAGATAACAGTCCAAGTTCACTAAGATACAATATATTTGTAATACAAGAATACTTCATTTTATTGCGCTTCGCTGTACTATACTTCACAAATACTGCGTTTTTTGTATATTGAATGCTGGTAGCAACCCTGCATTATCAGATGATGGTTAGTGTTATTTTAGCAATGAAACATTTTAAATTTAGGTATGTACATTTTTTAAGACCTAATACTATTTCACAGTTAACGTACTACAGTGCAGTGTAAACATAACTTTTATATGTACCGGGAAACCAAAAAATTCGTGTGACTTGCTTTATTGTGGTATGCACTTTATTGTAGTGGTCTGGAACTGAATCCACAATATCTCCAAGGTACACCTGTAATGAAAAAGAAGAAATCTGTCTAAATGTTCATCCAGATGAATATTTTAAACTAGTTATGGTATATATGAAGGCTTTAAAAAGAATATAAATATCAAAGACCCTTTTCTACTTGAGTGAAATAAGTAGATTACAGGCAAGCATACATGGTATCACTGTTGAGAAAATAAAAACAGTATGTTGTAGTATAAATTCAGAAGAAAATAAGAAAGTTAAGAAAAACAAGATGTTAAAAATAGTAGTCAATTTACTTTTATTTTTTTAAATGTTAAATTTATTTATTTTTTGGAGGTAGAAAGACTCTGCAAAAAGCAATCACACAGGACACCAGTCAGTCAGTCAGTTTGAATATATGAGAAAAAACTGGGGCAAGGTAAACTTCACACGACTATAAAAGAGCGATTTTTTTCTTGGCCCGAAGAGGGGTAAATTATGTCTTATGTACATCCTTATACCCTTCAACATATCACCCCAATCAAAGTGTACATACTCAAATGCCTACTGTACCTCCGAGGATATCATTACCGACAAGTTATTACCACTCTAGGATCCTAATATTTCAAAGCAAACAGCACTTGATCTTAGTTTCAACTGTTACCTGTGTATTTAGGCTATTTCAAGTTTAAAATATTCCATTTAAAAATTCCTTCCCTTTTAGAAAATCCTCATGGAACCACTGGAAATTTTCAACAGATAGTGACAACTATTCCCTGCTTTAAATACAGACTGGAGAAATCATACACAAAATAGAAATATGATAACCTTGTGGCACTTCAATTTCATCCCAGTTCTGAACAACAAAAAATTGTAACTAAGTTCACAGGAGCTTTCTTTTATCTTAACATGAGTTACCAGGGCATATACATAAGAAGCTGTGAACCACAGAAGCTCTATATGATATCCAGATACACAGCTGTTGAGAAACAGTCTTTACAATGCCAATCAAAGAGCAAAACATCTGGTTAGTTTTCAAACTAAATGAGCTGCTCTGCCCTCCGTGACAACTGCCAAGCAATAGGCCCTTTATGTCTTTCCCATTCATTACTGACTGATGCAGTAGTTCTCAACATTTTCACTAATTCTATGATCATTCCATTCCCCCCCCCCAATCTTTCAAATGTATCTGTCCACTTGCTCACAGATAAAATTAGCAAGTTGATGGCACACAAGATTCCTTTTAGCTCTTAATTTAAAAAAAATGTTACGGAGGGACTTCCCTGGCGGTCCAGTGGTTGGGACTCCACACTTCCACTGCAGGGGGCGCGGGTTTGATCCCTGGTCAGAGAACTAAGATCTGGGGAGCGCACCCGCCCCCCCCGCAAAAAAAAGCTATGGAATTTTATTTTCTAATTTTAATATTTTTTCTAGCGGAATGTTTTTCAAAACATTTAAACAAATCTTATAATAGGTGACCTGGTATCAACATGCTACTTAGACATTCCTAGAATAAATTAGTTTACTTTAAACTAAGTTTAAATGAAAACTTTCATATTACTGAGTAAATTTCTGAGGATCCCAAATTAAAGAAATCATTCAAAATGTGATACAGTCTAGTGTTTATTTTATGTTATGGCAGGTACACTTGAATTTCAAAAATTTAAAACATATAAAAAGTGGTTAGGGACTAACATTTGTATCAACAGTTGATAAATGTCTAAGATTGTTTATTATACAGCAGGGTTCAATGGTAGTGCTAATGCCAACAGGGCACCATGGAAATTAGTCTAAAAATTATCATTAGGCTTTATACAAGCAACAACATTTGCTGCTGTTTTAGAATTTGGGGACACAGCCTGCTTCTAATGCTAAGCAGTCCTTTAACATTTTTAATGTTATACAGTGTTATAGTAATTAGTTTGGCAAATGTTTCAAAATAAAGTAGAAATGTATTCATAACATCACAGAAATGCACATCCAGTTTTGTTTTCAATAAGAACCATAATAGGTACAGGTCAGAACTCTTCCCTATATGAAATAATTTACACACAGATGAATGCTATAATATCACTATCTAAAATAATCACTAAATACAATTCTTTTTCAGAAATAAACAAGCAAAGGTGTTTTTTTCCATATCAAATATCAAAAACATAGAGAATGCATGTTTTTCAAACAAATAATACTCTAAAATTATTGAAATAATTTCAGTGAATTCAGTGAATGTGCAACCTAAATCAACCAAGTATACTGAAGTACAACGATATTAAGAAACCAATGATCAGAAAACACAACTGTATGAAAGAAATTTATAATCCACAAAACTGTTTTTCAGGCTTTAAGGTAAAATAGTTCCACAGTTTACAGGTAAAACCGAGGCAACAAAAATGCGTGCTTGTCTTCAATAAGTAGATATTTTATGCAGAAGATGTAACACTTTGCTTGTAGACAGCATGGTATGCATTTCTCAGCAAGACATAAGGAAAACAAGATTCCAAAAGATCCATTGTCAGGAATGGGGATTCCTGCACAATCTGAAAAATCCCAAAAATGCATCAATTCAACTTATTTATAATGGTAATATTTACTGACAACTAGTAAAGCACAATTTTATATTGCCGTTATTGGGAAAAGACATAAATTTTCCTTTCACTTTAAAATCTGAAATGCGAATGTGCCACAGTGTATGCTATCAAAACATTTTAAATCACTACTTTTCAATTAAATCAATTAATCAACAGGAAATACTGAGCACTTGCATTGCCCTCAACAATATATCACATTTAAAATGTGGTCCATATCATCAAGTCTAACTGGAACCCAACATTAAGCTAAAAAGCCAAATCAAACATGAGACCATCTATGATTAAGTGGAAAGCTGTTAAGTTCCAGAGAGTTCAAAAGAGAAGAAAAGTTAACATAGGCCAAAGTAATCAAGAAAGTCTATCTGAAAAAAGATTCGAGCTACGAGGTATGCCAAATCATTATCAGGATAGACACAGACCTCTGCAGATAAAGGAAATTATTCTAAGTGAGGAAAGAATCACATGGTAGAAACAAGCACAGGTGGTTTCATGGCAGTAAAAAGAAGGAACTGACGAGGCACAGAAAATTACAGGAAACGTTATTAGATGGGTGGGATGAAGTCATAAAACAGAAAATTCAGAAAAGAGTTCAAACTGATACACTAGGAAAATATAAAGCCTGAGTGTTTCCCAATAGGTTGAAAAACTATTCATAAAAGAATACTCTATAGGTAATGGTGATCTTTTTTTCTGTTGTTTTCTGATGCGATTACCATATGATAAAGTACAAGCGATATCAGTCTATTTAGCAATTATTAGAAAGTGTGTGGCTTGGGTGGAGTGAATATAAATGGTCAAAAAAAATACATCACTTATAAACCAGAAACTAACACACCATTATAAAGCAATTATACTCCAATAAAGATGTTTAAAAAAAATACATCAGCTCTTATTATAATTTAATGACTAAAATATCAAGAAAAGACTATCAGGAATGACTGGAACTTTTTTGTTGTTAGCAAAAATTAAAATAAGACTTACCATATCTAGCAGTAAATAAACAGATTCTCTATTTCTTGTTGTTGTTTTATCTGTCTCCTGGCCAATTTTCAGTAGACTGGAGGACGCAAGCTTAAAAGTGTACACACATTTTAAATAAATAAGTTTTTTTAAATAAAATGTTCACTTATTTTCAGTATGCTTCAACTTGCAACACATTTCAATCATAAGGTGAGCTCAGGCTCTTTACATTCAAGCAACAATTTAAGAGCTATTAAGGTATAAACACATACAAAGATAATAAATGTAATCAAATATTCTTATTGGTTTTTAAAACTGATTTTTTTCAGAACAAGTCTTTTTTTAAAAAAATGATTTAAATTGCTTTTTCTCTTCCCAGTAACTGTATTAACTATATTTCTTAATTCCCAAATAAGAAGAAAATTTCACATTGAGTTTGAGTTATTAGGACCACAATGAGATTAAGACATTAAGTCTTAAACAAAGGAAATAAAGAAAATGAAAAGAAAAAATTTAACTCTTAATATCGTTTTCTTTGAAATAGATGTTATTTTGTCCTCAAGTTAGTTTGCTACTACGTTTACTTTAAAAATAAAAATTTTTTTAAAGCTAACAGGATTTATAACTTAAAAAGAAGCAAATATTCTAGTGTTCTTTATACCACACTGCATCTTTCTTTTAATTAAAATATGAAAAAGGTAAGTTGATAAAGGGAAGGAAGAGCTACACTACCACAGAAACTAAAAGCTATACTTCATGAGGCTAGAGTTAGCACTACTACCCTCTTTTGGCAGTGAACAGTATTCTTACTTTTGAGTTTGATTCCATTAACAGTCTTTCTCCAAATAAATGGAAATAAGTAAAATACATCCTTTTAGAGGGATACATTCATCCTTTGCCTCAATTTTCCTTTGTTTTGTTTTTTCCTCTTTCAAACTCTAGGCAAAATTCTAGGGCAGTCCAAACATCAGCTTAGAAAAAAAAGTCACATTGCAGAGCTCTAGAAATGAGAGACTTCTAAGTCAAAGGAAAAAATGCTAAACTAACTGCTCCTTGACTTCAATGCCCTATCTTTACTTATTCCTTATTCCAAAAATTAATTAATTAATTAAGAGAATTTACTTTGTTACACTTCATAGTTACGATTTTTAATTTTCTCTAAAAATTGTCATGAGTTTTGTTTGATTATACACACCGCCAGAAATTCTTTAAGCCGATCTTCAATGCTTCCCTTGTGAATTGTAAACAAAGCTGCAGCGATCTGGTTGATGGCTTTGGCCAAGCAGTGTATGTTGTTGCAGTGCCCTGAGAAAGCGCAAATAGGGTTTGTGGTTTCTGTGTGACCCCAAAATATCAAATCTTTAATGACTTCATAATCTACATAAATAGTGGCATGATTAAAAACAGAGCTAAAGCATCATAACCTGCCTTGCTTGCTCTCCCTTCACTTTCATGAGAACTAGTGCTTTTAAGAACAGTGTAGAAGAGAACAACAAATAATTATATCTATATTAAACAGGCACATTTTCAAAAACCCCTAAAAGAACCATATATCAGTTTTATATTGTCTTGGAAACTTAAAAAATAAGTGCTTAGCTGCTTTACAAATATTTCCTCATTCAATCCTTAAAATAATCCTAAGAGTTGGATACTCCCTTCACCATCCCCTGCCACACACACATTCAGGCACCCACAGGCTCACATATACACATTTCATATGTGCATACGAAACTGGGGCTTAGAAAAACTGACTATTCAAGGTTATACAACTAGTAAGCAGCAGAACTTAACCCACTTTTTATTATAAAAAAAAAATCAATTACTTGAAAAGTACCTACTATGTCAAAACTTGTAACTTTTCCAGTGCCAAAACAATTTTAAACCACTATTACCTTCTATAGCAGGGCTATACTGAGACATCACATTACTGGCCAGTGTTGGCAAAGAAACTGCCACAAAGACCATGAGGAGGCAGGCAATTTTATATTCTTCTTCTGGACTTATGTTTTCTAAGGGATAAAAATTAAAAATAAAGTCAAGGTACTTCTGTCAAGATTAGTTAAGAGTTGATCATCTAAACCAGAAAAAGCATATTTTAATTCTTGTGTATTTTACTGAGTCTCTATAGAACTGATTACAATTTTGTTACAAGAAATACAGAATGAATAGAAATAAAACACATTACTATTGGTTATTATCAAGTCCTTGGGCATATTTCAAGGACCTCTAATAAAACAATAAAGCAAAAAAAAATTTTTTTTAAACTGTAAGATTTAAAAATATTAGTCCTCTAACTAAATACAGTTTTAGTTACAGGACTAAAAATATGTTTAGAATAACTGGAATCCTAAAATTTCCTAATTGAAAACTAATGATAAATTACTTTATAGGAAAATTCTATGTTTCAGTATAGAAAATTATGTCCTAACTTACTCTGCAAAATCATCCAAAAAACTCAAGTTTTTTTTCTAAAATAGATATAAGTGAAATGTACTATTAAAAAGAGATAAATGTAGAAAGTAGACTGGATTTCTAACCTCTCCATTTTAGAAGACAGGAGAAACCAGTCATAAATGAATACAACTAGTATTGTCCTAAGGTTTTAAATAGTTATTGTAAAATAATTTATCTAAAATATTTATTGTATCCATATACTAAAATTGTGGGTTATCTAGGTACTTCACTTATCGGGTACCTGGGAACTTCTAGTCACCTTACTATTTATCAACACATATAACTAAGAATTGAACATAAGAGCCAGAATATATTTAAAAAATCTGGCTGGTCATGACTATTCACAATAGCTAAACCATGGAAACAACCTAAATGTCCATCGACAGATAACAGATAAAGATGTGGTACATATATACAATGGAATACTACTCAGCCATAAAAAAGAACGAAATAATGCCACTTGCAGCAACACGGATGTAACTAGAGATTATTAAACTAAGTGAAGTCAGTCAGGAAGAGAAAGACAAATACCTTATGATATCACTTATATGTGGAATCTAAAATATAGCACAAATCAACCTATCCACAGAACAGAAACAGACTCACAGACATAGAAAACAGACTTCTGATTGCCAAGGGGGAGGTGGGTGGAGGAGGGAAGGACTGGGAGTGTGGGATTAGCAGATGTGAACTATTATATACAGGATGGATGAACAACAAGGTCCTACTGTATAACACAGGGAACTATATTCAATGTCCTGTGATAAACCATATGGAAAAGAATATAAAAAAAAGAATGTCTGTATGTGTATAACTGAGTCACTTTGCTGTACAGCAGAGATTGGCACAACACTATAAATCAACTATATTTCAGGAAAAAAAAATCTGGCTGATTATGAAAAAGATAGCTGTGGCAAATAAAGTAATTATAGTAATTATCCATGTAACTATAATTAACATAGTGCACAAATGATGAAACAAAAGTAATGTCAAATCAAAAAAGAACTGATGAACTCAGTCAAACACCATGTTACATCCAAGGAAGTAGGGGAAGGTATTTTAGTGCCAGAAGCAGATGAAATGTTTTTACTTTGTAGAAAAATCTAGAAATATCTAGAGAATTCTGTGTACCACATTTCAAAGGGCTGATTTTAAAATATTCTGAATGTTTAATATTACATAATAATGCACAGACTCTTTATGGTAAGTAGCTCTAGTCCACTTAATATAGGACACCCTTTTCTATTTTTCTATACATTTTATTTATTTGTTTGTTTGGCTGCACAGCAGCTTGAGGGATCTTAGTTTCCCAAGCAGGGATTGAACCCTGGCCCTGGAAGTGAAACAGCTGAGTCCTAACCACCAGACTGCCAGGGAATTCCCAAGACACCCTTTTCTAGATAACAATGCTTCTATCTATTAGATCATCTCCATCAGCACACAAATGTTATTATTTCACCATCTGAAAAATATCCTTCTCTTGATTTTACTCTTGCCTCCTGCTACTATAATTTTACTTCTTGGCTCCCCTTTTTACAGTAAAACTCTGTGAGAGAGTTATTTTATACTCATTATCTCTAATTTGTTTTCTCCTAAGCCCTCTTTAATGAGCCTTTTGCCTCTAAGACTCCACTGACACTGCTCTTGTCACACGTATTAATTCTACATAGCTGATCATTCCCTTTCCACTCTCCTCAAAGCGATTCTTCCCTGGTTTTTCTTCTCCTTCACAGATCCTTCCTTCTCAAATTTATCTTTTAGTAGTTCTTCCTCTTCTTCCTGAACTCGTAAACTTGAGAGTGTACCAGGACTCAGACTCTGATCCTCTTCATTTCTGCACACTAAATGGGCTTAATAACCTCATACAGTCTTATGACTTAAATATCTAATCTGTATGTACAACAAACAAAAAAAACCTTGATATAAAGCAGGCAGCTGAACAAATAGGTAAGTATCACACCTATATCTGTGTTGTCCTGGTTATTTATTAAGACTACTACATAATTACTAATGCATTTTACCTGATTTTTGTGAGGAAAGGGCTACCACCAAGGCAGGATCAATCTCACACGGTAATCCAGCAGCTGATGACAATTCATATACATTCATTGCAACCTAAAATATATAAGAATTATAGAGTAAGAAATATTCTAACAAATTTCTGAGAAATCTCACTTTAGTAAGAAAAGGTATAGTGTTTAAATTAGAGTCTGCCTACAAGAACACTAGAGAATTTCAGAAACTTGGCTATAGAAGGAACTACAGCACAACTAACTACACTGAACAAGCTGATTTAGTATTTTGTGTGTGTGCACTGCTGATTATATCTTGACACTACTAAGCCAAACAAAACTTGTATACTTTCTGTGGCAATTCCAACAGAATCATTGTAAAGCTATTATTTTTCTTGGAAGCATAAGTGTAAGATCAAGATCAAACCAACAGATATGAAAAAAAGAACAAAAGTGAATCAAAATTACTGGCCTTACGTTTTATGTCCATACTTGTCTAATTTAAAATTATAGTGGCTCAATGCCTAATCATATTGTATCTATAAATACAGTAAATTACTTATTATAATAGATTTTTAAAGGAGTACTAACTTAAAACCTGATAAAGCAATTTCAAATGACTAATTTCTTTTGGTATCACATATGGATTTCAAGGATACTCCACTCAATAACTCAGTTAAAAACTACCTATGTGGGACTTCCCTGGTGGCACAGTGGTTAAGAATTCACCTGCCAATGCAGGGGATACAGGTTCGATCCCTGGTCTGGGAAGATCCCACATGCCGCAGAGCAACTAAGCCGGTGTGCCACAACTACTGAAGCCCGTGTGCCTAGAGCCCATGCTCCACAATAAGAGAAGCCACTGCAATGAGAAGCTCGCGCAACGCAACGAAGAGTAGCCCCTGCTCACCGCAATCAGAGAAAGCCCGCACACAGCAACGAAGACCCAACGCAGCCAAAACTTAAAAAAAAAAAAAAAAACTACCTACATAATTGGTTAGCCCTGATATTACAACAACAAAAGTTTACAATCTAGTATAAATTTAAGTGCTAAAACACAACTATAATACAGGGCAGAATATATTTAATTCTACAATGAACAAACAAAAAGTTCTCTGATAATACTAAAAAAAAAAAAGAAAGAAGAGATGAAATGATCACTTGGGGACCCAGCAATATTTCTTAGAAGATGGCAATTGAATCAGGCATTAAAAGATGAGCAGGATTTCAAAAGGCAAAAATAGAAGAAGCCAGGATTTTCAAGAAGAATAAATTAGAGAACAAAGTAGAGAATGCACACAACAAGATTTGGTCATCTTACAGGACCCAATGGAAGAGAGGGATAGAATAAGAAAGTAAAGAGAGCGAGAGAAGGATGGAACAAGTAATGGAAGATAAGCCTCAAAAATAAATTTGAGACTTGAACGCCATACAAAAAGTTCAGAAGTAACTTTTTCAAGTCAGAGCTTTTCAAAATATGCAAAACAGAAAATAATCTTTCCAAGAAACATTAAAGTTTAGAAAATATAGATATGATAGGTCACTTACTAGATGCGTAACCACTGGTAAATCTTTGCTGGGATTAAATCAGTGGCTGATTTAATAAATAAATGATCAATAAATTTACAAAACAAACAAAACCTGTGGACTCTGGTAAGGCTACCAACCTTCTTATATTTATTTAAAACAGAATACTAATTTAAAAAATTATAGCCTATAATTAACATCATTTTATAAGATTTTTTTAACATCAATTTTTAAAAACTGAAATTAGCTTTATTTAAAACAAAACAACTCTCATTTCACTGGCTTATCTTTTTTTTTTTTTTTTTTTTTTTTTTGCAGTATGCGGGCCTTTCACTGTTGTGGCCTCTCCTGTTGCAGAGCACAGGCTCCAGACGCGCAGGCTCAGCGGCCGTGGCTCACGGGCCCAGCCGCTCTGCAGCACGTGGGATCTTCCTGGACTGGGGCACGAACCTGTGTCCCCTGCATCGGCAGGCGGACTCTCAACCACTGTGCCACCAGGGAAGCTCTGGCTTATTTTTTTCATTCTGCTTATGACCATGTATAAACAGCTATCAGTTTAAGGAAAAGGTGATTGACATTAACCCATTTTACATTGCTTTAGGTGATCAAGGAAGATTGACTTTCAAAATGCCTATATAGTATTTTGGTGCTGAGCTCTCTAAGATGCATTTTCAAAGGCAAGCATGCTAACCCATCACTCTAAAATATAAACTTTATAGTAGCTTAGGATTTACTAAATTTTACTTCATATGTAAGTTAAATATGTCATTTTAGAAACTGTAAAATCCAAATAGAAGTTTTATTACCTTCATATCAGTTTCCCTTGGAATGTGATCCTTGAAATCTTCAATTGAACTGACAAGAAAAGGAATGTGGTAGGACAAGACCTAGGCAGGAAAACAAATTAAGAATGCAGAATTATTTTTAAAAAGCAACCTCTAAACTTATGAGATATTACCATTCAATTACTTCTAGTTTGCATAAAAATTATTTTACTTTGTCTATTTTCAAGTGATTTTCTAAAGTACTACAATACACATAAACGGAATGTATTTGATGCCAAACCAAGTATAGTCAAAATGGAAAATGCTCTAATGAAGAAAAAAGTTGAAAAAGTAGCACAATATTCAGGCAAGTTATATCCCCTAAATTTAAATACCAAAACAAAAAATGAGTTTAAGTAACTATAATTTTTATATGCTTTATTTCATATAAACTATGAAAACTGGAATTTTAATTATATTACTGCCAACTATAAATTTTTAAAGTTACTTTTAAATTTCTGGGAAATTAAAAAGGATTATTTGGCTATAGGATATGTACTCGTAATGGTTTCTTACATCTCTAAGTGCTTCTTGTGCCAATGATCGGAAGGATAAAATTACACCAATTATTGTCATCCTCTTCAAGACACTGTCAACAGCTAAATTTGAAGGAAGGGGAGAAAAGAAGAGAGTGAATTGGATTCTTTCTTAACCATGGAGAAAACTCTTAGTCATAAAATCCCCATGATAAAAGGCACAATTAAAAACAATTTGATTACAACCAATGATTAAAGAGGCAAGGGTACTGACTGATGTTAAAATTAGGAAATTACAGTTTACTTCCAGTGGAGTACACTCTGTTCTTTAAAATGGTTTAGATAGTTCATCAGAATCCTGAAACAATCATGCAAGTAGCCACCTGTATAATCCTATCACATTAATGCTAGTGATAGGAGGAAGGAGAGAGAGACTAGGGGAAAAAGAAGAAGCTGATCAGAGTGGATCCTCAAAAATCAACTGGCGGGACTTCCCTGGTGGTCCAGTGGTAGAGAATCCACCTTCCAATGCAGGGGATGAGGGTTCAATCCTTGGTTGGGGAACTAAGATCCCACACGCCTCCGGGCAATTAAGCCCACGCACTGCAACTACTGAGCTCACACACCTCAATGAAAGAGCCCACACGCCACAAACTACACAGCCCACGTGCTCTGCAGACCACGTGCCACAACTACAGAGAAAAAAACCTGCACGCCACAACTAGAGAGAAGCCCATGCGACACAATGAGGAGCCAGCGCACCGCAACAGAAGATGCCGCATGACTTAATGAAGATCCTGTGTGCTGCAACTAAGACCCGACACAGCCAAAAAAAATAGAGAAAATATCAACTGGCCCTGGAACTTGGAGATGCTAAATTAAGTAGTTGAGATCTAGAGAGTCCAGAAACAAAAAATGACTATTGAGGTCATAAGCAGTAAGACCAGGTTTCTGAAGACTATGAATGGATTTGATCACTTACATTTTGGTTAGAGAACATTATTCTGAAATTTATTGCTATTATATTCAATATCAAAACTTGGTTAAATAAAATCAAGAGAGATTAGAATTAGAATGATCAATACCTTCGTATTTTAAAAAACCAAAATTTACTGAATTACTCCCCATACACAAGTCATTGTACTATATAAGAAACAAATATAAACAAAATAATAATCTAGACCTTAATAACAGTCTAAATGGACTGTCAAGAAAACTAAGAAAATATGATCCTATTTATATGAGAGAAGGTATATATGCATATACATATATACACACACACACATATTTGTATATACATAATAAATTTCTCGACAGATGTTTAGAAAACTGTTAACCGTAGTTAAACCTTTGAGAAGTAGGACTGGAGAGAATTTTGTTTTGACTTTCTATCTCCTGTGTGGTTTGTTTAAACCTTTACCATAAGCATCTTTTATTAATACACATGGAAAGGCATAATAGAAGCCAAAATGTGATGAGAATTAAAAGTGTTAACAAAATCATGTAAGGCACAAATATGTTATAAATTCCACAGGAGCAAAGTCTTATTAATCTTTTTATCTATCTATAGCACTCAGCAGAGTGCTTAAGACCCACAAGACTAGAAGATGTTCAATAAAATGGTTATTCAAGAAATGAGACTAGAAAGTTGTTACTATCCAGATAAGGAGAGAAGAAATGAGGGTAAAAGAAAATATTTCTCTGAGAATATGTCATCCAATTTATCGGCATAAAGGAGTGAGAACAAAAGGGCATTCCAGTCCAAAAAACAAGACAGCAAACCCAGAAAAAAGAATGCAGAGAATAAGGTAAACAATAAGAAAATAAGTAGTGTGATATAATCATATACTTCGATGTTACCCAGAATTTAATGAAGTTTGCAAAGACTATATCTATAACCTCCTCTTGAATATGCACAATAACAACACATTAAAAGTTCTGAGAAACTTCACATTAAGAAATCTTGTTTAACTTATTGTTTTAATAAATAAAATAAATGTGCTCAAGTCACATAGTCAGAAATTCCAAAAAACTAAGTTAATTTCAGGTTGTCTCCCAATTCAGAGCTACTTTTTTTTTTTTGGCCACACCACGTGGCTTGCAAGATCTTAGTTCCCCAACCAGGGATTGAATCCGGGCCATGGCAGTGAAAGTACCTAACTATTATTGGATCTCCAGGGAATTCCCCAGAGCTACTTTTATTAAATTATATTGCTTTCTCTTTTTTAGGGTATTTAAAAGAATGTGTTTGTTAACTATGAAAATCAAACTGCTACAAAAGTAAATCAATTTCTGTATATGGATAAAGGCAGCACAAAGGTAAAGAAGAGATCAGAGACAAAAGAGAGTATTCTGGAAAACAGTTCAACTCAACGCGTAGCTTTCTCTATTCCCCTAAATAAGTCACTCTCAAGCAGATCTTTTCTTTTTCCAAATCACAAAAAAGATTTTGTTTCAAATCCACGAACAGAAGAGTTAAAGTAACAGTAAACATGCATTGAACACTGCAGTGGATTAGCTGCTTCTAATCAGATGACACAGTCAAAACGTTGTTTATTAGCATGAAATTAAGTAGGGTTAAGGCCAGCTGGGTGATCAAATGAGTATTTAAAAATTAAAGAAATGTGAAAAATAATAATAATAAAGTAAAACATACTAGAAAATATAAGTATATAGTATAACAATGAACAAAAGATTGCCAGCAAACACATGAAAGGATGCTCAACATCACTAATCATTAGAGAAATGCAAATCAAAACTACAATGAGGTATCACCTCACACTGGTCAGAATGGCCATCATCAAAAAGTCTACAAACAATAAATGCTGGAGAGGGTGTGGAGAAAAGGGAACCCTCTTGCCCTGCTGGTGGGAATGTAAATTGATACAGTCACTACGGAGAACAGTATGGAGGTTCCTTAGAAAACTAAAAATAGAACTACCATACACCCAGCGATCCCACTACTGGGCATATACCTGGAGAAAACCATAATTCAAAAAGAGTCATGTACCACAACGTTCACTGCAGCTCTATTTACAAGAGCCAGGACATGTAAGCAACCTAAGAGTCCACTGACAGAAGAATGGATAAAGAAGATATGGCACATATACACAATGGAATATTACTCAGCCATAAAAAGAAACAAAACTGCGTTATTTGTAGTGAGGTGGATGGACCTAGAGTCTGTCAAACAGAGTGAAGTAAGTCAGAAAGAGAAAAACAAATGCCATAAGCTAACACATATATATGGAATCTAAAAAAAAAGAAAGAAAATGGTTCTGAAGAACCTAGGGGCAGGACAGGAATAAAGACGCAGACGTAGAGAATGGACTCGAGGACATGGGGAGGGGGAAGGGTAAGCTGGAAAGAACTGAGAGAGTGGCATAGACATATATACACTACCAAATGTAAAACAGATAGCTAGCGGGAAGCAGCCACACAGCACAGGGAGATCACCTCGGTGCTTTGCGACCACCTAGAGGGGTGGGATAGGGAGGGTGGGAAGGAGACACAAGAGGGAGGAGATATGGGGATATATGTGTATGTATGTATAGCTGATTTACTTTGTTATAAAGCAGAAACTAACACACTATTGTAAAGCAATTATACTCCAATAAAGACGTTAAAAAAAACAATGAACAAAAGAGATCAGATAGGGATTTAAAAAATAATATCCTACTAAGATTTTTTAAAAAATTTTTTATTTTTGGCTGTGTTGGGTCTTCGTTGCCACGCATGGGCTTTTTCTAGTTGCGGTGCACAGGCTTCTCATTGCGGTGGCTTCTCTTGTTGCAGAGCATGGGCTCTAGGCACACAGGCTTCAGCAGTTGCAGCACGTGGGCTTGGCAGTTGCAGCACATGGGCTTCAGTACTTGTAGCGTGCAGGCTCAGTAGTTGTGGTGCACGGGCTTAGTTGCTCTGCAGCATGTGGGATCTTCCTGGACCAGGGATCGAACCTGGGTTCCCTGTACTGGCAGGTGGATTCCGAAGCGCCACCAGGGAAGTCCCCTTACTAAGTATTTATTCACACTCCTTCTCCCTATGCTACCAAGTCAATCTTTCCTTTTTTCATTTCATTTTTTAAAGTTCCATACAGTAAACTTGACTTTTCCCCCTTTCAGTGTACAGCTCTAGGAAAAATTTAACATGTGTAGATCTGTGTTACTACCATCACCACAGTGGTGACCAATTTCATTACCCCAAAAAATTCCTTTGCTGCTTTCCCTTTACAGTTCTGGCAACTACTGATCTGTTCTAAAAGGCAACCTGTAGGGCTTCCCTGGTAGCGCAGTGGTTGAGAGTCCGCTTGCCGATGCAGGGGACACGGGTTCGTGCCCCGGTCCGGGAAGATCCCACATGCTGCGGAGCAGCTGGGCCCGTGAGCCATGGCCGCTGAGCCTGCGCGTCCGGAGCCTGTGCTCCGCAATGGGAGAGGCCACAGCAGTGAGAGGCCCACGTACCAAAAAAACAAAAAAACAAAACAACAACAACAACAAAAAAAGGCAACCTGTAGTATAGTTTTTTGTTTTTTGTTTGTGTGTGTGTGTGTGTTACGCGGGCCTTTCACTGTTGTGGCCTCTCCTGTTGCGGAGCACAGGCTCTGGACGTGCAGGCTCAGTGGCCATGGCTCATGGGCCCAGCCACTCCGCGGCATGTGGGATCCTCCCAGACCAGGGCACAAACCCGTGCTCCCTGCATCGGCAGGTGGACTCTCAACCACTGTGCCACCAGGGAAGCCCCTGTAGTATAGTTTTACATTAACTTTTAATAAATAATTTTGTATTTTTTTATTCATTTATTTTTTGGCTGCGTTGGGTAATTGTTGCTGCGTGTGGGCTTTCTCTAGTTGCGGCGCACGGGCTCTAGGCACGCAGGCTTCAGTAGTTGTGGCACAAGGGCTCAGTAGTTGTGGGTCATGGGATCTAGAGTGCAGGCTCAGTAGTTGTGGCACAAAGACTTGCTCCACGTCATGTGGAATCTTCCCGGACAAGGGCTCAAACTCGTGTCCTCTGCATTGGCAGGCGGATTCTTAACCACTGTGCCACCAGGGAAGTCCCAAAGTTTGTATTTTTAAAAGCAGGATAAGATAGCCTAATAAAGTGATTCTCTAAATCATTTTATAGTTTTATAAAATTTGATATAGCTGCAAAACATTTAAAAGAAAAACATCAAAGGAGAAGTATATAAAATATATGCATCTTTAATTTACTTCAGGGTTATTTTTTATTTGGGAAAATAAACTCTCTGGTTTTCTCAAATACGGAGAATATTTTATTTAGGATTTCACTAAATTTTTAATGTTGTAAAGGCTTTTGAATGAATCAGTAAGAAGTATGACTTTAAAATAATTTTTAATTATAACTTTGAGTTCAAGGACAAAAATCAAATGAAATTAATTCAAGTACATCTAAAATAGGTACTTGGCTAAACATACTTTAATAAACACTTAAGATTCACTGCTATTTCACATATCTCCCACGAAGAATCAGTATCAAGAAGACATTTTTTTAAGTTGTAGGCTCAGGTTTGCATGCAATGAATACTAGTTAGCAATAAAAGGAACAAAGTACTGATTCACTTAACACAGAGGGGTGAATCTCAACAATATATACGAAAGAGTATATACTGTGTGATTCTGTTTATATGAAGTTTTACAACAGGCAAATTTAATCTACAGTGATAGAAAGCAGATCAGTCACTGTCTAGTGGTGTGAAACTGACTACAAAGAGTCATGAGAAGCTTTCTGAGGTGACTGGACTGCTCTACATCTTGACTGTGGTAATGGTTATGTGGATGTACACAACATTTGTCAAAATCCATCACACCGTTCACTTAAATGTGTGCATTTTCCTTACATAAGCAATACCTTGATAAAGTTGACTTTCAGAAAATTACGGACTCTAAAGTTAAATCTCCTTCAGTCTAAATTAATATAGATTTATTGTATTTAATTTAATGGGTTCATGAACTAATTGATAATAATATCAAATATTTGACACATGGTACTAAGAGTATGTAAAGAAAAACAAATATGAAACAGGTAAGCCATTCACTTAAAAGTTCCTTTGACTGCAAAAATTCCCTAGTTGTCCCCATTACTGAAGAGTACTTTTCATAACTTACTACTTATATTTGTATTTATAAAATTTGAGCAAAATCTAAATACTGTCAAGGTGTTCTTAATGCTTATAAAAAGTATCATGAGTTACTCACACGATAATCTTTTAAAGAGTGCAGCCATCTGGTCGGGTTTGTCAAAGCTGGTCCTCATTTGTGTTAGCACATCAACATTTTCCACCACAAGTTTCTAAAGAAAAGAAAAGGAAGATCCTAGGTCAGGCATAGACCTCCTTATGTTGATGAGATAAAGAACATGCTTGGAAATTACAATCTAGCAAGTAGGAAAAATAATACATGAAATCTAGATGCTCTATGCTATGTTTTTGTTATTGTTTTCATAAAAGAATTTTAAAATTATTTACATAAAATTAATGTTTTCCTTCAGTTTGCATATTCAAGAAGGGAGGAGTTCAGGAAAAAGCAATAAAGATAAGTAGTAGTATAAATCATTATCTTCTGCTTAGACACAGAACAGCACCAATAATAAAAAGCAGACACTGAAGTGGATATAGAGAGCAATAAATTCCAACTAAAACAAAAAGAACTTGCTAAAGTTAAAGCTGGCTAAAGATAGCCTAGAGTTCATCATTGGATATATATATATAATCAGAGGGAGAAAAACTTGTAGGGGTATGGTACCACTTCACAGAGAACAGAGCAATGTTTCCTAGCACAAAATGGAAATGTCAACTATCTACCTCCTCTTTCAGGGACCACTAAGAAAAGGGAAGAGAAGAGAGGGAAGAGAGTGAAGGATAGCTAATTAAGAAAAGTATAACTCATTAAACAATGCTTTTCTTAAAAAGAGTACTGGAAAAGTAATTTCATTTAAAAGTTATAACTCAAACAAATATAATTAATTTTATTCTGGCAGAGATAGTGGGTATATGTATTTGGAAAGCCTGGATATCTCAATTCAGCAGGTCTGGGTGTGGAGATGTACGTAGCAAGCATATTGTTGAAGTGCCACAGTGGTTGTGTTACAAGCCAAAGGCTGATGACAACTGATTTAAGGGGAGCATGAAAAACTCCATGGAAAATCTATAAAAGTAATTTTTTCTATACTAGTATGAATTTTGCTTATGTTCCACTTGAGATCATTTCTGTTTATGCTCTCATTCAGATGTTCAGCTCCAGCAACATTTATTTGCTAAATTTAACCTCTACAGTGTCTAATTAGACTACCTGCTCTCTCTGAGGCCTATTCAATACTTGTCCCATCAATCAGTATACACTCAAATATACGCCCAACCTTGACTGTGCTCACGCACCTTGAACATAATATCATGTATCAGTGAATCAAAGACAGCAATGAATATTAAATGCACCATTATCTAATGTGCCATTAAGAAAAAAACTCGGGCTTCCCTGGTGGCGCAGCGGTTAAGAATCTGCCTGCCAATGCAGGGGACATGGTCCGGGAAGATCCCACATGCCGCGGAGCAACTAAGCCAGTGCAACACAACTACTGAGCCTGCACTCTAGAGCCCGCGAGCCACAACTACTGAGCCCGCGTGTCGCAACTACTGAAGCTCGCGTGCTGCAACTATTGAAGCCCACGTACGTAGAGCCTGTGCTCCGCAACAAGAGAAGCTACTGCAATGAGAAGTCCGCGCACCGCGATGAAGAGTAGCCCCCACTCGCCGCAACTAGAGAAAGCCCGCTCACAGCAACGAAGATCCAATGTAGCCAAAAATAAATAAATTAAATAAATTCAAAAAAAAAGAAAAAAACTCTACCAATTAAACTGACACAATGTTTTCTAATCATATGACTATAAGACATGTATAATTTCAGAAATGCTAATATAGGATAATTGTTTTAGAATCAATAAATTATTGTATATATTTAATAGTAAGATTCTGTAATCATTTTTAAGCTCCTCTACGAGGCAATTTACAAACAATTCCATTTACCCTGATCCAAATGAGGGAGGTGACAGTCCAACTTCACAACTGAGAAAACTAAGGCTCAGAGAAGTTAGATAACTTGCCCAAAGTTATAGATATTAAACAGTGGAATTTGGAATTTAAATTCAGGTATGCCTGATTTTAAAATCCATGCTCTTAATCCCCAAAGAAATGGTTGTTAATCTTCAATGTGCATCAGAATGATCTGGAGGACTTGTTGGGTTCTAGCTCCACAGGTTCTGATTTAGCAGGTCTTAGGCAGAACCAAAACTTGTGCATTTTTATTAAGATCTAAGGCAAGGCTGCCACTGCTATCTGGGGACCATGCTTTAAGAACGATTACCCCGAATTATTTGTTTGCACATTACTCTTAAAAAAAAGTTAATGATGTCTCCTCTTAAAAGTAGTTTATATAAATTTCTTTTCTCCCTCTATTGCACCCTGAAACAGAGCTTTCTATACATTTAAAGTCACTGATTAATATCTCTGACAAATGGCCCAAAAGCTGTAACTAGGAATTATAACTAAATGGTTTGGAACAAACTGAGACTAGTCAAGTGAAACGAATCAAGACTACTAAAAAAAATGTTGGTTTTCTGTCAGAAAGTGTTAAATTCTTGGCACAATTCATATTTAAATTTCTTCATCCTTCTAGGATTCTGAAGAACTAGAAGAACTGAAAGAACTGGCAAGACTCGAAGAAGTTGACTTGATGGGCACAACTCCAAATGAAACACCCCAAGAATTTTAGTAGGAATGGAGACACTGGTTGTTTTCTTCTCCAGAAAGTAATAAACATGTTTTATCATTAGTACACGTGCATAGTGTTGACTATGTCTGACACACAATTTACTCAAAACCATTAAGTATAAAGAAGCTTTCCTTTTTTTTAATTGGCCCACAAATTTACTCTGAAATAAAAAAGTCCTCAGCTAAAACAGGAACTGAAACAACCAATTAAGGTAATCTTTAAGATAAAAAGAAGATGCAGCCACATAATATTTAGTTTATGTCAGTTTAGATTAAATATAAAAAATAAAAATACAGAAAATTAAAAGCTGTCACAGAACTATCTTAAAAATATTATAATTCCCCTCAAAACACTGTATTCACTAATTTCATAAAGATTAAAATGCTATTTGGGCATCATCATGCTCTAATATGGAGAGTGTGAGTTACAATCTTTTCTGAGGGATATTTGACAATATCAGAAAAAAATGATCCACTTTCAGAAATTTGTTGTATAGAAATGTTCAAACAAGTATGTAGACTACATGGAAGTGCTGGCTAAATGTAGAGAACTCTATATGTATGTCTAAACTCTGCTTCTTCCAGAAATACACTGAAGTGATAGGAAAAAAATAAAAAGGCATAAAACTTTGGTAACAAAGGAGATAAAAGAAGAATGAGAGACGCCAACAAAATTCTAGAAGATGAAAACTGGAGCAAAGAATAAGTGGAGAAGAGAAATTTGAGCAGTTAAGTTCCTGTAGGGGAGATACTATGCAGAAGGCACGCTCATGGAAGCCTCAGGGCCTAGGCAGGACTCAGAAATTGTAGGCAGTGACATAGAAAGGAAGACTTGGGCTTGATAACAAGAAGGTTATTACACGTCTGTAAGGGGGAGGGGTCGTTACACACCCAACTTCTCCTCACCATCTTAAGAAGTGATGCTGAGAAGGAGGACTCTACATTCAGGAACATCAGGAACAGAAGGTGGCCAGAGAGAAAGGGAGAACGACCTAAGAATCATGATAGCCAGCCAGATGTATTAGACCTCCTCCCTCCTCCCTCCCTTAATCTCCAACAGACTTCCACTCTTCAGCTGGAGGCGACTGCATGTGAAAAATTATTTGCAGGAATCATTTGAATCCTAGGATGAAGATACCTTTCTCCAGAGAGGATTTTTATTAGCGTCTGCCAAGCACCTTGGGGCACTACTAATCTAGGACCACTTTAAATCCACGTTCAAGACTTGAGATTCAAGACAAAAAGAGTAACACAAACAGGGCTGAAAATCCTGGTGGGGTGTGTGTGTGTGTGTGTGTGTGTGTGTGAATCATTTCCAGTTCACTGTTACCCTGAAGATATAACTCTTTGGGTTATCTATGTAAAGAGGGTGAAAGGGAATTTAAGCAGAATTCCTTTCCACTCCCACTCTGGGCAGTCTTTGGGTTTTGATTACGGAGCCCCTTGCTCCACAAGACCACCAAGACTCAGCTGAATCTTAACAAATGTTACTTCTGGATCAGAGAATGTCCTCACATCAGCACAGTGGCTTCCAGTGCTTTCCTTGATTTTAGCCTAGAAATAAACACCTCACTGCCCTTTTAGCTCTTTTTTAGAACTTTTTTTCTTTATATACATATATATACGTGTATATATACATTTCAAAAAAGTTGTCCTTAAGGGAAAAGTTGATCTAAATAACCTAGCCTACCAGTATTGGACGCAGCAATCTGTATGTTATTTTACTTCTGTAATTTCATAAATTTGATTATTCTAAGGAAAGTAATTTTATACGACACTGAAAAATGCAAAGCAATTAGAATCAGCACTGATAGACAAGTACTTTTGGAGATTTATCTCAATGAGATATAAAACACACTGAACAGTATAAAACACACTGAACTTGTCTATATGAAACACCATTATATTATGATCATAAGATTTCTTATGGAATAAATTATAAGAATACACATTGAAGTATGCCTCAGTACACAGAGGCTGAGAATACAAAGTCATAAATAACACATCCAGTTCTTAATAATATACAAGTAGTTAAATTCAGAGGGACTTCCCTGGTGGCTCAATGGTTAAGAATCCACCTGCCAATGCAGGGGACATGGGTTCGATCCCTGGTTGGGAAAGATCCCACATGCCACGGAACAACTAAGCCCGCGAGCCACAACTACTGAAGCCCGTGTGCCTAGAGCCCATACTCCACAATAAGAGAAGCCAGCACAATGAGAAGCCTGTGCACTGCAACAAAGAGTAGCCTGCGCACTGCAATAAAGAGTAGCCCCCGCTCGCCACAACTAGGGAAAGCCCACGTGTAGCAACAAAGATCCAATGCAGCCAAAATAAATAAATAAATAAATAAATAAAAATAATAAATTCAGAGAAATCTGAATTACAATTTGGGATTATTAAGAAGGATCTCTAAGAAAACCACTGTAAAGCACTGTGCAATTCCAGAAAACTAAATCCTCAGGACTAGCTTTGTTTTGCAGAAATCTAAACGATAATGGGCACAATGCTAGAAATGTAAAGCTTTCATATTTACGGTTGACCACATGAAGAAGACGTCTGAAAAATACTCAACTAAATCAGGATTTAGTGTTTGAGAAGCAAAAAAATAAAAATAAAAAACCCCTAAATACCAAAACATAATCATGTGATTTTCTAAAAGTCTTACAACTAACATTAAATCATTAATAAAATAGGCAAGTTTTTATGAAGGTAAAAAGAAAAGTTAAGGAAAATCACATAGATTACTAAAACCAAAAGTTTTAGAGAAAAAAATGTTTTAGTATCCTAAACCATCTTGGTTTTGGGGTACACTACATTTAATGAGAAACCCCATGCTAATTCACACTCATGTATCTCCAAAGATAATAAATCTAAGCTCTTACACAAAAAGTTTCTTTTGTCTAGCTTTTTAACTCAGGTTTAATATTACCAAATATTTGAAAAAGAATCCAGCCAAGATATAACACTCGTGAGTCAGAAAACTCATAGTATTATAAAAGAAGTCAACACTATACTATTATGACATCAACTTTAAATTTTAATATCTGAGAAAGAAAATATGGTCATTCCAAGATACAAAAGAGAAATGTTAAAACATAAGCTCCTTCCATTTCTTTTAAAGAATAGGAATGTATTTGATAACATTTGATACTTAAGGACATAGCTAGACAGTTAAGTTTATAAAAGGATTACTAAAAGACTATGACAAAATCTGAACTAAAAATATATCCAGAAATAATGAACAATATCCAACAAGATAAATTATTAAAGGAACAAAAATAAAGGTCTAAAAAACGAAATCACACAAAATACAAGATGTAGAAAGCCGGGTTCGAGTCTGTATATGAAAACAAAAGGGGAGGGGGACAGGGGAAAGGAGGAAAGGAGAAGGAGGAAGGGGGAAGGGAAAAAAAGGTACCTGATTCCAAGTTGAAAACAGGATGGTATAGCTATGTAAAGTGCTGATGCTATCTTAAACTGTATCAGTAAGTATGGTGTTCAGGGTAAGTAGGTGCACCCTCACTACTCAGATCTCTAGCTGAAGTTTATTCTCAGCTCAGGGCACCAGCCTCTAAAAGTGACACCAATAAGATAGAATTTGTAACAGAAGAGATTGAGACTAAATATGAATATACTGCACCTAGGGAAAGGTGAATACCAACAAAAGGTATACCAAAGAAAGGTAATACCAACAAAAGTTTCTAAATATGTGAAGGGTCATCTTGTTAGAGGCAGTCTCTACCTCTTGATGTAAGAATGAGGACCAATCAAAAATTACTATTTAGATATTAACATAACTAGAGATATGCAGTAATTGATAAGACTGCCTCATTTTCAAGAAGACCAAATCATCCACCCAGAAAAATGTATATGCTGGCATCAGATAAGGGTGGGTTAGCTGACTGCTAAGATCTCTTGCATTTCTCAAGACAGTGTAGTAGGGTACTAGTATAAACTCTGGAGGCAGATAGACTATATAGATTCAAATTAAAAGTTTCACCACTTATTAGCATGTGAGCCTGGACAAGTTACTTAATCTTTCTTGGTCTTACTTTTCTAATTTGTAAAATAGGGACAATAGCAGTTTAAAGAATTTAAAGGAGTTAATAAAAAATAAATAAAGAGCTTAAAGTCCTAGAACAAAGTAAAGAGTAAGGAAAGCTACCTATTTTTATTTTTGAATCCAACAGATATTTATTTACCAAGCACTACTATGTGCTGGACATTAATTTAGCACCAAGGTTTTTTTTTTTTAAATTAATTAATTAACTAATTAATTAATTTTTGGCTGTGTTGGGTCTTCGTTTCTGTGCAAGGGCTTTCTCTAAATTGCGGCAAGCAGGGGCCACTCTTCGTCGTGGTGCACGGGCCTCTCACTATCACAGCCTCTCTTGTTGCGGAGCACAGGCTCCAGACGCGCAGGCTCAGTAGTTGTGGCTCAAGGGCCTAGTTGCTCCGTGGCATGTGGGATCTTCCCAGACCAGGGCTCGAACCCGTGTCCCCTGCATTGTCAGGTAGATTCTCAACCACTGTACCACCAGGGAAGCCCTAGCACCAAGGTTTTAAGAGAGTTTATAATTGAGTTTTTATTCTAGTGAGTGACATAAGATGCATGACATGAAAGGTCACAAGTAAAATACAAATAAAGCTGGATAAAAAGAATAAAAAGTAATGGCTGCAATTTTTAAAAGTGTGTTCAAGGAGGGATATTCTGATAATTGAAAATACATGAATGTTATGAGAAGACAAGCTGAGACAGTATCTTAGTGAAGAGTATTTTGAGATGACACAATAGTAAGTAGACCAGCCAGGATGGAGGAGTGTAAAAGGTGAGAAGAAGTGGAAGGCCAGATCCTCTAGGGGCCTTGCAGCACTGTTAAGGACATCAGATACCTTGAATTCTCATAGATATGAATAGACTAGTTTTCAGTTTATCGCATCATAGTACTCAACCCACCACATTAAATGGCAAAGAAGCACTAAAAATACAAACAGTTCTAGAAGAATCTGCGTATTCAGTCTGAAATAAAAAATAGTTAGCAAAAGCTAAATTACTGGACCATAATTCTTCTATTATTTCATACTGAAAGGAACACAAGAAATTAAATTAAAGATGAGAAATTTGTTCCCTGAGGCTTCTAGGCTTGCTGCTCATATTCTTGAATTGTTTTAAAGCTAAAATCAATAAAGACTATATTACCTTAAGTTCAGCAACTTGTGATGAAATATGCCACATAAGGCTTTCACTTAGGAACTTCATACCATATGGGCCTAGCAGTTCTGATAACGACCTCATTTCTGAAAGGAAATGGAATTAATTTTATACTTTGACAGAGCAAATATTTTAAGAAGCTAATTATTAATGGAAAACCCTAAGAAAAGTCAGTAGAATAAATAAGAACACAAATGCAAGGCTAAGTCTAAGATACAATGTATGATTATCCATATAATTGAATAAAAATAGTCATAACAGAATCAAAACCAAAAGAATCAAGCTTTCTTCATTCTCTAAAGAACGTCAGAGTATTATTCACCTGATATGTCAGAATATTCCTCTGCGTTAAATGTTAATTCATTTTCCGTAGGTAAATTCACAAATGCTTTCATTGCAGGGAAATAAGCTATATGACCATTGCTGACTTGTCTTAACAAAGTTTCCAGATACCTAAGGCGAAAAGTAAATTTACAAATGGAGAAATTAATTCAAAATTTATTATGGTATACATTACTGCATATAATTTTAAAGTTGACTAATAACATGAATGAGCAATTATCCATTAAAAAAATAACTTTCAGAAGGCATTCATTACAAAGAAACTTTATATCACTTCAAATTTCTAAATATGTTCCTTACCAATTTGTGTACAGACTTGTAATGGTTGGCTCTCCATGACTGTCTAAATGTTGTGTTTGTTGAAGAAGCACATTATTAAATACTCTTGTAATATCAATTTGCACATAGTTTTCTATTGACTGGAGTACAGTCATGTATGCTCTTACACTTGTCAGAAGCTCTGATGGTTTTGCAATTTCCTGTGTGGCTTGATTATACATAGTCATTCCAACAATAGACCTGGGGCGGGGGGTAAAAAAAGAATTTAAAAGTTCTAATTGTTGTATCTATATAAACAGGCCATTCAATCTACTGATCTCTAATATTAAATAAGCAATGAAATTTTAAATACACTTTGTTACAAGTTCATGAAATTACTACTATGTTTATCTTCCAAAGAAACAACTTTAAAAAAGAATATACACCTAAAAGGTATAACGAAATGGGAATGCAAGTGATTAAAAAAAATACTAAGGGCATCAGTAATAAAAATTATTTAAGAATAAAGAGGTTTAAAAAATTCCTTTAACATGATATGCTGTCTCCAGCAAGTACAGTGGACTATTTAGTCCATAGCCTGAATTCCTTTGGCACTGTTATGTGGCACAGTACTTTTTTAGGCTTTATATATATTACCTACAATCTCCATATTTAATAACCCTACTATGCAGTTACCACCACCATTGCATAGAGGGGGAAAAAAAAACAACTAAGGTGCAGAATTCAAGTAAACTGCTCAAGGTCACTTTGTTTGGAAGTGGTGGGTCTAGGATTTGACCCCACACCTGCCTGACTTAGGGCTACCTCTCAACAAAATGCATGACAATCAAAGCATGGCAACAACAAAAGCTTTATTGTACAATAATCACTCACACCACATAAAACACAGATCTGTTTGGTTTACATCCCAAGAAACTGTATAAGCCTAAAAGGAAACAAATGTTGAAAATACTTTCCTAAACTATCTTTTCCCACATTAGCCACCTTCTTTAAAACTCCCTGAGCATTAGATTTACAAAGATCTTAGACTTGTATTTGTAAGGATGAATCCATAAAGACACCAGACAAACCCCATCACTAGTATCAGTCCCAGAAGAACAACTCAAGACAAAAACTGCTATCCTTGTACACAGCTCCTAAGTCCTAAGACTGTGCTCAAGTGATCAGCAAAAATCAACAAACTAATACTCACAAGCTATTTGTCCTGGCATAAAAATCTTTCCCAGGTAAACAAGTTTATATAGCCTTGCCTTGATCCTGATCACTAAGTAGATGTTTGGTAAAAAGAACATCTGCTTCTCCATGGATTAACGGACCAGACTGTTTACAGAAGGAAAACAAGGGAGTTGTAAACTGAACCCTACCTTCCACCCACCACTCCCTACCCCACCCAGTTGAGAGCAATAAATACCAGAAGGCGTTAATGTCCCTTTGGTCTAAATACTGGAGCAGTCTGGGTTTCACTTTCAGGATGCCTACCTTACTAAATAAGAGCAAAAGATAGTCTTTGCTCAACACCAGACTCTTCTCAGCTGATGACTTAACACTCAATTTACTGCCCATTTAAATATGCTACTTTGTTCTATAATTGTCGAAGCTCTAAGCTTTATACCATTTCATTACTACTCATAGTACTTAACAAACACAATGTTATGCATATGGCACAAACACTTGTCAGTGATTACAACCTTTTGCCAAAGTTTTTGAAAAACCTTTGGCAAAATTTCGTTTCATAAATTGCCTTAAGGCCTTCAAGAAAAACATGTTGTATCAATATTTTCTTTAATAAGTCAGTGTGTAATTTTAGAAAAAGGCTGAAGCAATATTTACAAAATTAAAAGATTTCTGACTTGTTACATAAAATAGCATTTCAAGAAACACATATATAACATAAAATTAGAATTGAGCGCCTCAAGAGTTTAGAATTCTACTGGCATAACAGCATACGTTGGAATTCACGAGACTTAAGGGTTCATCTAGTCCTGAGGTTTTCACACATTTGACTGTGATCCACTATAAGATATGTATCTAGCATCACAACACAGTACACACATACATGAACAGTTTCATGAAGCAGTATTTCTACTTACTACATGCAGCAATGCACTGATTTTTTTCCTATTTCTTCTTCCTTCTTTACTTCCCTCCCTCTTCTTTCTTCCTTTAAATATTGACTACAACCTTCTAAACTGATTTCATGATCCTACTGGGTTGCCAACTGCCCGCTGAAGTACACTGATTTGCTCTAATCTTCTCCCTTTTTCTTACAAGGAAGTTAAGACTCACAGAGATTAACTGGCTTGTCCAGTGTTACAACTAGTTAATAAATATGGGATAAGAATCTGGATAATTTAAGTAATTCCCAGTTCACTATTCTTTATACTTCCCAGTTCATTATTTTTTATACTACCGTTTCTACTAATTTATATATCATTTATATACCATTTCTACTAATGCTCTCCCTCATAAAAGTAAACATTGCATAGATATGAAGAACAAATATAACAAACTCATTAACTAAACCAACAAACAAAAACAGTTTATACTCTTTCTTACTTAGTAAAGCGGATTTCCAGATGAGAAGTCAAATATTCTCGTGGGGTAAAGGTATGTTCCCAAACCACCATGTTTGGTACATAATTTATAGAGAAACACAACTCAGAAAGTGCAGTGTGCAATTTATCAAGGCTGAAAAAATATTATTAAACAGTAAATTAAAAAAAAATTTTTAGCATTTCATCACAGCAATACAAAATTAATTTTATAAACGTATCAGACTTTATTTGGGAATAATAACTGCAAAATCAATTTTTTCTCTCTTAAGATCTGAACTGACAAGTTCAAAATCTCTAAGGGTATCACTAACCTTTGAGAGCAATTTTCTAAAGATAGCGTCATTCATTTGTTTCTTCATTCAGATGATGACTATATTGACTATAATATACAAGAAAGAACCTATTCTGCACTCATAAAGAATTATTTCCAACTCCTGCTGTACCTTCTGTTCTGGAGGAAGAAAGCTGTCTACAAAATGGCCAATAGCTTGCTCAACATAGGAAGCAAGGAAGTAGGAAATTTACTTTAAACAAAAAATATTCACCTATTATTGCTCATCTATACCTCCCCTACAAACAAACAAACAGCACTGAATGCTATCTAGTCTAATATACCCATTAAAAAAAAGGACATCAAGTATTTTCTAATATATGACAAGATGCCAAAATAGTGTCAGACATCTGACTTTAAATAAACTGAAAATTATAGACTGCTTATAGTATACCCCCCAAATTTTTAGACAGATTATTGGCCTTCAATATTCAACATATAAAGACAAATGACATCTATTACATGTATTTTCTTCAAAAATCCAAAATATGTATTTTGAGATGAAATAAGCACTTACTGGCTAATCAAGTTCACAAAGGTCAAAAAAATTAACAACTGGGAAATGAAGAATTTACAATTACCAGCATTTCCTCAGTACTAATGCCATACAAAAAATGAAAAAAAACTCCTCTATCTGTAACAAAAAGATACAATAATAGTGGATGGCTTACTTGGTCACTACCAGCCTGTTTTTCCTCATGCTCTCAACTCCTGGTTTTTCCCTTTCAGGTTCCCCTTTCTTACCAGTCTGTTTTTTTGACTTCTTATTCACTGCTTGACTGATGGTTTTGGCACAATGCTTGGGCAGCAACTAAATTTAAAAATAAATGAAATCATACAAACCAATTACTTTGAAAACATTAACTACTGAAACAAACCTCAGCTAAATCCAGACTATGTGGCAAATATCATGCTAGCACTAAGAAGAGAGGTTAATAGGTGAGATGTAGAGTTTACCTAACCAGCTTGGAGAGCCCACTCAGCTTGGTGAAAAACAGAAACAGGTAAATCTTGTGTGAAGAAACACTTCATAGAGGTAGTTATATCAAAGCTACAGTTAAAGGACAAGTTAAAAAATACCAGGCAAATGAGGAGTAAGAAAGAACATTTTACTGAAAGGAAAATGGCCTATGAAGACCAAGACTATGATAGGACATGATGTGTTCAGAATCTAGTTAGAATGACTAGGTAGTGGAGTATAAAGTACAGGGTAGAGCGGTTTGAGCTACCTTAGGAAGGGACTTGAATGCCAAGCTAGAAGCTTAATTTTAAACTGTAATCCTAAGCACAGAGGGAATTTTTTAAAAACCTAATAATGGAGTTTCACAACATGAGGTAATGAGATTTACTGATAGTGTGAGAATAAAATTAAAAAAATGGAAAAGAACTAGCTAAGAGATCATTTTCTTGCCTTCCTACACAATTTTCCTATCTGTAAGGGAACATTTAAATTATCACCTGGTCACTAAGAGTACACTGTTCCGTGCAAATATCAGTGATGAGATTTCTAGCTTGTTTGGCCATTTCATCGAGGAACATATTACATAAGGAAAGACTGCGATCTCCAATATGATGTCTCTGTTAAAGCAAAATAGTAACAACAACAATAATAAAAATTATAAGAAAGTAGTTTGAATTAAAACACTTTTTAAATAAACATGGAAAATAAGGTTCAAGTCTATTCTACAATAAGGAGTGAGGATGGGAGATGTTATAGATTTCTTTTATCTCTTTTAACAACTAACCTACCGTACTGTACTTGCACACAACTGACATAAAATAAGTACCTGGTGATTATACAATTATTATTGCAAGGAATCTGAAAGGATCAGTGTCTTCCTTAACATGAAAAACTATTAATTTTCAAATTCCAATGTTCTAGATCCAGTTCTTAAATACTAAAATATCAAACACAATACGAAAGATCAGATTTAGAGTTATATTTTCTGATCTCACCTGATTATATACAAAAATCTTGAAAACACAGAATTCTGTAGTGTATAAACAGAAAAGAAATGTTAAAATATTTAAATAAAATCATTAGATATCAACTCAGTAAAACAAATAAATGCACAAGGCATTCAACTCTCTAAAATCAAACTCCCCATCCCAGAATAGAAAACAAAAGCTGACTATGAATGCATTTTCCGAACACAACAGGGGAAAAAAGAACATTATATCTAATGTTTGGGAGATTACATATGTATATGTAGATACATACACTCATTCAAATCAATCTATCTCTAGCTACAGAATTCTGTATCATTTTAGTTTTGGTGGGTGTTGCAATAGTTTAATGGATTTTTCTCATCAATGGTAACTGGAACGTTGAGTACATAATGCTGTACAACTTTGCACTATACATTTGCAATACTTACAAAGAGACAGCTTTTAAAAAAATTTTATTGGAGTATAGTTGATTTAAAATGTTGTGTTAGTTTCTGGAGACAGATTTTTATAAGTTTTCCTTCCCTGATCTTCCATAATTATATAACAAACATATGCAGACATTACAAACATTATTTCTATGCTGAAATAAATGTAAGATAATATAAAAGAATATAAAAATACTTAAACATGTAAAATAACTGTTCCTAGATGTACCATGCTACTTTGTAATGTATTTTAAATGCCCTTTAAAACTTGAATAGGAAGCAAAACCTAAAGGGATCTACAGACCAGATACAATTAAATAATGGTTCACTTTATTTAAGGAAAAATTTCAAATTATAAACATTTGCATTTTATTTAACCAAATTCTGACTCCTGAAAGATAAAACATATCCCTTGCTATCCCTTCTTCCTGAAAAAAAGAAATCTGAACTAGCATTGCTTCAAACTTACTAGACTAACATTTAAAATACAGATCTGATTTCACTACTTCTCTTCAATGGCTCAAAAATGCTAAGACTCGAAGGAAAACAACTAAGATTTCTTAACTCTGGCTCTCTGCTGAGAACAGAGGATAATGGCAGAAGCAAAGAGACCACTTAGGAGACAATAACAATCAACCAGGCAAAAGATGATGTGGCTTGTTCAAGGGTGAGAAGAGGCAGGAGTTTGAATATACATATATAAAGGCAGAGCCCCAAACAGAAAGGCTTCAAGTTGGGGTGGATGTGGAAAATCAATAATTCTATTCTGGACATGTTACACTTCAGATGGCTAAAAATACCTAAGTTGCAGCAGGATACAGAGAAAATCTAACTCGAAGGGAAAGGTGTGGGCTGCAGATACAGATTTAGGAGACATTAGCAAATGGAAGATTTTTAAACAATGAAACTGGAAACTGGAAAAGATGAGTGAACTACTCTACTGGATGGTACAGTTATAGCAACACGATAATTAGTTTCTCATTAGTACTGGCTACCATTATCTGGGAATCCTGCTGACCCAGGAGGGTGTGAATTTCAAATCTAGTTCAAAAGGTACCATCTTTCTTCAAATTCACTGTAAGTACTACAGCTTAAACTAAAGCCTCAGCATTAAGAAGTTGTTCTAGAGGCCTTTTCTATAACCTTTCTGATCTAAATGAGATGAATGGCTAAAACTAAAATTACAAAGCAAGACTGCACTGAGAACTATTAACTGTGCACACTAACTTACTCTATCCTCACCCTTATGTGAATTCCCTCAACGTTCCCAGAGTGCCCCATGTATATTTCTACCACAACACAGATCATCAGATCACGGATTTGTCTAGGGTAAAGACTGTGTCTTTGCATCCTTTCAATCACAGGTTTAAGAAGGCACAGCTGGAATATAACAGGCTTTAACAAGTTAGCTAAATGAAAAACAGAATAGTACCACTTACTAGCTATATGAATATAGGGAGAAAAAAAACATCAGTCCACCAGAAATTATCAGTAGTTCTGACTATGCTGTTACTTTGTTGTAATAATCAAATGCAACAAAAGATGAGAATTGCTGTATAAATTTTATGGTTCTACATAAATATAAACACACTATTAATTACCTGTTGTAATTATTTGGTATAAGAATTGAGTCTTACCCCATTAAGGAACCATAACTTTACCAACAAAATGAGGTAGAAACGTTAAAATAAATGATACGGGTTAGATGACAATAGATAAAATAATGATGAAAGTGCTATGAAAACATGGTTAAGGAGGGACAAATTTTAACTGGAGGAATGCTGAAAATCTTTTTGGAGGAGGTGGATTTAAGCTGATCACTGAAGAAAAAGTAAGAGTACGACAGGTAGAGGTGTAGTGAAATGAATTTTATGTATGAGGAAAAAACCTCTAAGATGCCAAAAAGTAGACTAGTAAATGAGTACAGTTTACCTAAAGTGGGATAGTTACAGTAGGGAGTGGAAAGTAGAAGACTGTGAGTATATAGTGGATAAACAAAATGTGATATATATATACAATGGATTATTATCATTCATAAAATGAAAATTCTGATATATCTATAACACAGATGAGCCTTGAAACAGTATGTTAAATCAAACAGGCCAGACACAAAGGGACAAACATTGTATGATTCCTCTTATATGAACTCTCTAGAAGAGGCAAATTCATAGAGACAAAAAGTAGACTGGATTATACCATTCCAATGGAATGCTGAAGGATGGGGAGTTATTGCTTAAGGGTATACAGAGTCTCTGGTTGGGGTGATGAAAGTTTTAGAAATGAACAGTGGTGAGGTTGCACAACACTGTAAAGGTAATTAATGTCACTGAACTATACATTTTAAAATACTTAAAATGACATTTTTATGTTTATATATATATTTTTTTTCTTAAAGACATAAAACAAAAGAAAAAAAAAGAATGGGGGTAGAGATCAAATTGTTGAGGATTTTAAATGCCTAAGAAATTTTTACTTTCTTCATATGCAATGGAGAACCACTGATGATTCTTTAAGAAGGAAAGAGGCACTCTGGTGGCACTGTGTTAGTCTTTAAGGCAGATATTGAAGGAAGAAAAATTATTTAGCAGTACAGATGAAAAACATTGAAAAGCTGAACTACAATATACCATACAAATAAAATGAAGAGGACCTGATGGGTAATTAATGGGAAGGATGATGGTGAGGAAAAACTGACAATATATCTTAGGTGTCATGATTGGGGGAAAAAAATCTTTTAATTGTAAAAAATCTACAAATCTATTAAAATTGGTGGTATTATATCCTCACAGGTATTAATCCTAAAAGCACTCCTTAATAAACTTCCTGCAGGCTAATTTCTGTCTTGAGTCTGCTTCCAATGGAATGCTGAAAAACAATTTACAACAGATACTACCTAATGCTTAAAGATAATAATAATGCTGTTATTTGTAAGTTTCTTTTTGACAAGTTCTGCAGCTCTAAGTAAAGGGATTCAACACTAAGTTAAATTATTTTTTAAAATACTATTTAATTTTAATATATATTCTTACCATACTCACAAAGTGATATTTCTTCTTGAAAGATTAGAAGAAATAATGAGTACATTTTTGATAGATACTTGGTATCTGTAAAACTTGAGTAGTTCAATTACTCAGTAACTGTGTGTACCTGTATGTGAATATATTACAAATACCAGCAAATCTGGATTTTGCTTACTGTATCTATTATATTGACGAGTCAGTGAAATTCCTCTTTGAAATGTTTATGTTTAGTCAGTAATCTCTCCAATTTTCAAGTCTTTTCAATGAGCGTTTCAGAGGAAAAACTAAGCATTCAAAAATCAATCACTATATAACTTTACCATAAATATTAATACCTGACTCACTATTTTAATAAAGGTAATTCCATGTGACTTTATATGTTCTTATAAACATGTATGTATATTTATCTGATTATTCAAATATATATTATGTCTATATCATATAACTATTCAAGCATTCTTCTGATTCTGCATAGAGATGCATTAAGTGGGCAGCTAGATTAGATAATTAGGACTTTGTGAGTCTTTGTGAACATTCGGTCAGCTTTATGTTTGGAGTAGTTTTTTCTGCATACCATATAAATCACAATACTACTCTGAAATTACCTCTTCTGGACACAGTTCATGTGTGCAACTCATAAAATGAGTGCAGAGTAGTGGGAATGCAATTGAGTATCTTGACTGAGAGGGTAACTCCAAACATTGTTGAAACATCTTCTCAAAAGCACGACTATAAAAACTATAAGGAAACAAAAATTAGAATCACAATTTTTATAGTTAAAATTTTATGAAACAGTACCTTATAATTAATTTAATTTGATTCAAGTGAGTAAAAATTACCAACTGTAGCATTTATTCTCTTAGAAAAAGAAAAGTTATTTTTCCAAAGAGTTATCTCTTACACACAAATAATCATTTCAGAGTAATAAAAATATTATTTATATAACAACACATTTTTAAATTAAAAAATTAAAGAGAAGTTAAACCATATCTATGGCATATGAATATATGACATTCAAATCTTACATCATCAAATTTTATCAAAGCTAAGTCACTATCAATTGTAAGAAACACCATTATTTTATGTACCACTAAGAAAGAAAAACATTGTCAATTAAACAATGACACACCATCAATTTTAAATTACTTCCAGATTTAAGAGATATTAAATCTAAAAGAATGTGAGGTGATAAAATATAGTACATCTTGGAATAATGAAGACAAACAGAAGTCGTAAACATGTCTTTATCTTGGATATGACAAAGTAAGAATGTGGTTAAGAGAAAATATGGATAAAAATTAATTAAATGACTGAAAATTTGCAAATTTTAAACATTATTCAAAGTGCCTTCATTTCCAAGAAAGAGAAGAGGAATTTCTGATTGCTGTATCCTTCTTTTGCAATAGGAACCTTTCTGTAGCTCAAAAACACCTAAACGTCAAATGTTCCATTTTCTTTCCAAGGTAGCCTTTGGGTCAGACAATAGGATAGGGTTCCAAATAATCCTTAAAGTTCTTACAAACTTGTTATGGGATAACTGTGTTTCATGAGTTGCATTAAGAGATCCCTATGTCTTCCCCACCTGGTGATTTGGATTTCTTCTGTAACACTGCTAATTAAAGCCATACTACAAACTGCAAAGATCAGTGTAGATTGGTTTTTTCCCCCCAAAATAAAAGCAACGAGACACTTTTCATAATGATCTCTATTCAATACAAAGAAACTACTATCACTATCCACTGAGACTATCTCAGCATTTTAGAATTAAAGGGATCTACTAGACTATTCCCATCAGCTTCCCTAAAGGAAAAAAGGTTAGGAAGCAGAAAGAGAGTTGTTATTGTACAGCTCTGGTGTAAGAATACTTAAGTTTGAGTCCTGACACCACTGTCTATTAATTTTATTACAATCAAGCTCACTTATTCATTTAGATATTTATTAAGTACCTACTATATGAGACATTAAGGAAACAAAAACATGACCTTCTTCAAGAACCATATTATGGGGCTTCCCTGGTGGTGCAGTGGTTAAGAATCCGCCTGCCAATGCTGGGGAGACAGGCTCGAGCCCTGGTCTGGGAGGATCCCACATGCTGCGGAGCAACTAAGCCCATGCACCACAACTACTGAGCCCGTGTGTCACAACTACTGAAGCCTGCGCACCTAGAGCACATGCTCCGCAACAAGAGAAGCCACCGAAATAGAAAGTCCACGCACCATAATGAAGAGTAGTCCCTGCTTGCCCCAACTAGAGAAAGCCCACGCACAGCAACAAAGACCCAATGCAGCCAAAAATAAATAAATAAATTTTAAAAAGAACCATATTATGTGGGGGAGAAAAAGAGTTGTAAAGTACTAAGTATAACAAAAGAGCTATATGATAGAAGCAAAGGAGAGTGGAGCACAATGGAGGGAATAGTCACCACATCATCATAATATTAATGTCTAACTTAATACTGCAGAGTGAAATTATGTGCTATTTAATTTCCAATGTTTGCTCTATTTAACCCTGACCCAAAACTTTTTTCCTTTAGTCTAATGACACAATCTGAAGTGACTGTTTTCACCTCCTCAAAGAAAGTGTAAAAAAATAAATTCACATCAGTAAGAGTTGCTCTTATAGAGAAAAATAGATATAAAATCCCAACTTGGTAAACTTCATTTTATTGGCAAGTTGTCCACTATTCCATTTATTCTTAAGAGTCTATTACTGAACTGTATTAAGCACCACACTAACATAAAATAATCAAGAAATATACCTTTGGATAATAAAAATTTCAAATTCTGATTTAAAGAAAATTACAACATACCAAAATATGGAGAGATCTGATGTTTCCACCAACATTTCCACCAGGGAATCTACCATTTTTGTGTGAAAAATTATTGTATTCATCATCTTTCCAAGTTCTCTGTGATCTGAAAGACTAAGTGAAGCCTTAGAGACACTAGTATATGCCTGTAAAAGTAAAGCAAAAAACAAAAGTAGTTTAGGTAATGACTTTAGGTATAGATCAAGTCTACAGGGGGAAAAGAAAAAAGAAAAACACCCACTACTGAAAAATACTTAAAGTTTATTATGAGCAACATCACCTTTTAAAAATTGTCTACAGTGACCCAAACTTGAAATTCCTATCAAGAATTTCTTTAAATAAACTGAAATACTGCCCATAAAACAGAATCTAATACATGGGTCATTCATCTTGAATGCCCAAAATAAGTGAAGTTACAACATCAAAAGTATAAAACAATGAATTGTCACGGTGTCCCTACCAAAAGAGGTTTTCAATCTATTTCAAGAGAAAACATATATAGGAAACAATAAGATCAAAGTAGGTATTGCACATGTTGATTCAGGGAGGTTTTAGATTATACTGAATCATTAAAAACCGGATAACATAACACATTGTATTAACTGATGGATTCCAGAAAACCACTGTGAAAATGGTAAAATTAGTGTAGGTTGACCAAAAAGGCAATAGGTCTTAACCGAAACCATCAGGATAGGTTGTGAGGGAAAGAAATTTCACTAAAGAGGTACCAACTCACAGAAAGCGAAACCTGCCCACAGATGGTGGACATTTCAGAAGGGTGGAGAACAAGAATAGGAGGGGTGCCTACAGAACAAAACACTGCTCACTACGGCTGTGGTTAGAGTGCAAAGAAGAGAAAGGAAATGGTGAAAGAAGAGATTCAACCAGATCCTGCAGACCCCTGAATATCATGTTAAAAAATTTAAACTTTTTGGTGAACCACCGAAGGTTCTGTGTGATAGCTAATTATTGTTTAGAAAGATTATTCTTTGTGGAAGGGGAAACAGAGAGGGGTGGGCAGAAAGGGAACAGGAGGCAGAGATCTTTTAGGAGGAAGTGGTGGCAATAATCCAGACAGGATTATGCTATGGTCTAGGGTCGTACAGTTCAAAAGTGTTTAATCTGGGAATGACTAGATGTGAGAGGCAACAGAGAATTATGGATGATGGCCAGGGTTCTGGCTTTAGGGAGACATTCCTTCATAAATCTCATATGTGTGCCTACACACCCTGCTGGATATGCCAAAAACGCAAGGCCCAGACCACTCACTATCCAGGCCATTTCTGGGGGTTATATTTGCATCTACCAAACTTGAGAAATAAAGAAATGTGTCCCTCTGGAACAAAGAGCAAGTATGCTTACTGTTGATGACAAAACAGAGGGTTCCTCAAACTCAGTCCTCCTTAGCTGCAAGACATGACCAATGCATAGCATTCATCTGGGTCTCTCTGTACTACCCACATGAGACACGGGAGCAAGGGAAAAATGATGTATATATACTGATGCTCATGCCACTTCCTGTGCAGTGAATTAAGTCCTTTGTCTCTGATCCAAGACCCCCATGTTTTCTGCTAGTACCCATGAAATATTAAGAGACTAAATATTTATTGCCTTTTAAGTAGGATAAAAATCAAACCTCAGCTTCTACAATGGGAAATCTCAGCTTCTACATGGAGGAAATTACCATTCACTGAGGCAGGCACATCACAAAGCAGAGTTTTATATTTTGTTGTTTGTGTCTGCCAGTAAAGGGGAGAGAATGAGGAATATGATGGCAGTACTCCAATGGCAAGATATATTCTGGACATTCATCACAAACTAAGTCTAATGGAAGTTTAATTTACCTTTCATCAGATTTAAAGTATAAAGAGAAACCAGTAGTGGCCATGAGTTCAATAAAGACTTCCATTAACTGAGCCTCATTTAAAAAATTCTGAATTAAAATATCACTGTGAAAATAAATTCAGATGAAATATATGGTGACAAAATGAGATAATTTGATTTAAAACACTCATTTGAAATGCCTGACAACAATGGAAGAAGAAACATACATTAATAAAAAAGAATTGGTTTAAATAAAAGTCTAAGATTTGAACAACCCAAGTAAATTAGAAGGCAGAAGAGAAGAAGCTAAATGAAAGAGTGACTGAAGATGCTTAAGGGACTAATGAGACACAGTGGAATGAGATGCCTTAGGAAGCAGAAAAAAATGGCAGAGAATACATGTAGAGAAGGAGAACTCTTCTTTTAAGACTACAAAGACTCCAGTGAAGGCACAAAGCATATTATAACATTCTCCCAAATGCTTATTCTACTCAAGAAGTGATTATCTATAGAGCTCAGGACATCTCTCTGGCCATATGCTTATACCTAATAACTCTTGTCCTTCTACCAGATCACTGATCAAACTCAGATCATTCATATCTTTTGTAAAGATATTGATATTTTCCTTCTTGTAGTAATACTTTACACTAAAAAGTTTCTTTACTTGTCCTTTCCTGTGTAAGCTATTTTCCTATTCAAATTCTATCTATCTTTCAATGGCTGGGTTACAACGTTGCTTTCTCTATAAAGCCATTACTAGCAATTCCAACTTGAAAAAAACTTTCTCCTTCCTAAGAAAACTATAATTAATTGTTAATCATACTCTGTCGGTGGCATATTTCAACTTAAGCTTTTAGATTTTTAAACTGCTATTTAATTTTTCATGTTTTATGCCTTGTCTTCATAGCCAGGTTTATAAAATACCCAAAAGAGGATTTGTACTCTTCTACAGATTATATAATACTACTGTCAATATTTTATATCCTGCATCCTATGGTCTAGTCTGTAGTCTTAGAACCCTCATTGTTGACCTGCTCTTAATAATCTCTGCAAACCTCCTAGATTCTGGACACCGCCACCCACCTCACACTTCTGCCCCCTTTTCCTAGTTAAGACTTCTCTGGCTCAGTTTTATGTCCCATTATTTCTTCCTTGGTATGTTCTGACCTATTATCACTAAAAAATAAGAATCTATTATTCAATAGAAAGGGGTTGAGTGACTGTATGTCACAATCCTGGTTAAAAGCAATGTTACGGGTTGAATTATGTCCCCCAAAATTATAATCCCTAATACCTCAGAATGTAAAGAGTCTTTATAGAGGTAATCAAGTTAAAATGAGGTCATTAAAGTGGACCCTAATCCAATATAATCAGCATCCTTATAAAAAGAAGAAATTTGGGCTTCCCTGGTGGTGCAGTGGTTGAGAGTCCGCCTGCCAATGCAGGGGACACGGGTTCGTGCCCCGGTCCGGGAAGGTCCCACATGCCATGGAACGGCTAGGCCTGTGGGCCATGGCCACTGAGCCTGCGCGTCTGGAGCCTGTGCTCCGCAACGGGAGAGGCCACAACAGTGAGAGGCCTGCGTACCGCAAAAAAAAAAAAAAAAAGAAGAAATTTGGATACAGAGATAAACAGAGAAGGAAGACTATGTGAAGAGAGATAGCAATGTCATTACAGTGTTGCATTTATTATAATTATAAGCTAAGTCAAATTAAAAAATCTCACAGAGGGATATATCAATTCTATATCTCTAATGCTTACTCAGATGCTTTATATTCTGCTGTATAACTGCACTGGACAAAGGTAAAATTCTCAAGTAAATTTTTCAAATGAATAAGTTTAAGAACCCTGGAAGTATTTAATAAGGGTAAATTTGAAATGCATCTAAATCTCTCAAATTCTCTGAACCTAAATGTTGGTTTAGGCACTCCCACAAACTAAGAGTAAGAGACTGAAAGCAGTTCAAACTTTGTGACAATGACTTTTAAAATTTTTGATGTATATATCCTTCAGCAGAGTAAGTCCACTTCTATTTTCATTCATTTTTATAAGCACTGCTTATGTATTGTTTCAGAGTTTTTTTGTTTTTTGTTTATTTTTTGCGGTACACGGGCCTCTCACTGTTGTGGCCTCTCCCGTTGCAGAGCACAGGCTCCGGACGCACAGGCTCAGCAGCCATGGCTCACGGGCCCAGCCTCTCCGCGGCATATGGGATCTTCCCGGACCAGGGCACAAACCCGTGTCCTCTGCATCGGCAGGCGGACTCTCTACCACTGCGCCACCAGGGAAGCCCCAGAGCATTTTTTAAAACAAGAAAATGTTAATTTCTAAACTTTATTTTTAACTGGAAGAAAATAACCTATAATATATACACATTAAACATTTGGGGATGGTGGTATCTCAAGTATTCTTTCCCTGATCTCCCAATAACCAGCTCTGTAATCTCAGGCAAGTTACTTAAAACTGTGGTTTAATTTATGAAGTCTTAATTTCTAAAAATATGCTGTTGTAGAACACAGATCAAGAGACAGAAAAGTGCCTATATATTTTGACACCGGAAGGAAAGAACCTAACAAAAGAAAAAGCACCTCAGGGAACTAAGCAGACTGCCAGAAAACTATGCTCTTTCTATGAGTGCTTCCTGAGACTGTATTCATCTAAAAATCTCTTCCTCAAACACATGGTGCTTATATTTTCACCTTTAATTAAAACACTTTAAAATTTTTTTATGTTGCAGAACAGTATACAGTATAACCTCATTTATAGGTTTGAACACCTAAAAGGATACTGCATAGGCCAATTATTAAAAGTTAATATTTCTGGGGAATGAAACCGGGAAAAGTGCAAATTTTCCTTTTCTACTTTACCTCTGGATACTTTGACTTTTTATAATGAGAACATATTATTATTATTTTTAAATATACAGTTATTGAAAATACCATGCCACAGTTTCCCCATAATTACTAGAAATATTTAAGGGGCAATTAAATTCTATCATTAAATTTATAGTACATACAAAAATTTCAGGCTCAAATTTTAAAAAGTCCTTAAAAACTATTTATGTGATGGTTATATATTGAATAAAAACTTTTTAAGTCTAATATTTATTTCTGCATTTCAGAAAAATGAAGCTTTTAGCACTAGATCAGGGGATGGTAAACTATGGTCTGTGAGCCAGCTGCCTGCTTTTATAAATAGTTTTATTGAAACACAACTATGCCCATTTGTTTACATATTAAATAAAGCTGCTCACATTACAATGGCAGAGTAGTTATAACAAAGACTATGTGGCCCAAAAACCTAGTTATGTAAAAAATATGATACTGTAATCAAAACTTTTATATTGGTATAGGTGACAAATATATTTATCCAAATTTAACAACTAATACAAATTGTGTCTTCTATATATACAACTCAATAGCAAAAAACCAAAACAAATCAATTAAAAAAGTACAGAGGATCTGAATAGATCTTTTCCCAAAGAAGACATACAGATGGCCAACAGGTACATAAGAAGATGCTCAACATTACTAATCATCAACTCACACTTGTTACAATGGTTATTATCAAAAAGACAATAAATAACAAGTGTTGGTGAGGATGTGGAGAAAAGGAAATCCGTGTGCATCACTGGTGGGAATGGGAATGGGTACAGCCATTATGGAAAACAGTATGGAGGTTCCTGAAAAAATTGAAAATAGAACTAACATATGATCTAGCAATTCCATGTCTGGGTATTTACCTGAAGAAAATGAGAACAATAATGCAAAAAGATATCTACACCCCTTTGTTCACTGAAGCATCATTTACAATATCCACAACATGGAAACAACCTAAGTGTTCACTGATGGATGAATGGATAAAAAAAGTTGTGGGGGGCTTCCCTGGTGGCGCGGTGCTTGAGGGTCCGCCTGCCGGTGCAGGAGACGCGGGTTCGTGCCCCGTTTCGGGAGGGTCCCGCATGCCGCGGAGCGGCTGGGCCCGTGAGCCGTGGCCGCTGGGCCTGCGCGTCTGGAGCCTGTGCTCCGCAAATGGGAGAGGCCACAACAGTGAGAGGCCCGCATAACGCAAGGAAAAAAAAAAAAAAAAAAGTTGTGGGACGGACAGGGACACACACACACACACACACACACACACACACACGAATATTATTCAGCCATGAAAAAGGTAGGAAATCCTGCTATTTGTGACAACATGGATGGACCTTGAAGGCATTGTGCTAAGTGAAAGAAGTCAGAGAACGACAAATACCATATGATCTCACTTATATGTAGAATATAAAATAACAAAAAAACAAAACAAAATGAACAAAAGAAAAAACCAAACTTGCAGGTACAGACAACAGATTGGTGGTTGCCAGAGGCAGGGAGTCAGGGGTAGGTGAAATGGGTGAAGGTAGTCAAAAGATCTAAACTTCCAGTTACAAAATAAGTAAGTCCTGGGTATGTAATGTACAGGATGGTGGCTACAGTTAATAACACTATTATATATTTGAAAGTTGCTATGAGAGTAAATCCTAAAAGTTCTCATCACAAGAAAAAATAAACTTTGTAACTACATGTGGTAACGGATATTAACTAGATTTACTGTGATCATTTCAAAATATACTTATATATTGAATCATTATGTTGTATACCTGAAACTAACAGAACGTTTCATGTTAATTATACCTCAATAAAAAAGTTTCTTTCATGAAGTAGACTATGTTAGTTATATAAAAGGAGTCTTTTCAATAGGTATACAATAATGAATATTTTTTTCATATTATGTTTTCATGTTAACTAAGGTATTCAATAACAAAACAGAATGACAATGAAAATTATTCTTACCTGTAATCTAAACCAATCTAATCTCATTCCTCTGAAATCAAATACTTCCCCATCTTCAACTACAATAAGAGAAAAAAGATTACAAACCAAATTAATGTAATTAAGTTGTAATTAATATAACTTTATATAAACCAAACACAACCAGGCAAGGTTACAGTAGATTCATTACTTAAGTGTGATAACTATAAAGGTTAATAAAACTAAATAAATTTATTACTCAGAAATTTTCAAGGTTTCTGATACCTTTTACTTAAAGACTATAGAACTAGAACATCATATCAGTCTACTGGAATAGAGTATTCAACTAATGGAGAGGCAGTCTATTATATGACATCAACTTTTGAGATGGACAGACCTGAACTTAAGATCCTACTGTAGTAGTTAACATCTGTTAGAGTGTGGGCAAACCATGGTAAATAACTGGGAGGTTAACCCTCAAACCTTAAGTTTCCAAATCTGTCAAATAAAAGTAATAACAGCTTTTTAACACTGATGAGGATTAAATAGGATAATACATATAAAGTGCCTGCCCAGATTAACCATTTTATTAATGGTATCCATTATTGTCATAGGTAATGCTTGGACCAAATATGCACTTTGTTACGATGTGGAGTGCTCAGTTTTCTTTATTATTTTTTTATATTACAAAATGCTTTCTTCCCCCTACTGAATAATAAGAAATGTTAAGCTATACTTCTTATGATTTTTATAATCATCACACATCCATTTTGGAAACCTTTGCTTCAGAATGAACAAAGTTAAAACAAAAGAGAACAGGTTAAATATGCCCCAAAATAAGATAAGTAATTCTGTAAAAACTAACTGCTAAATCCTCTCCTTAATAATCTAATTTGAAACCTGATTACAAGAAAATGTTTTTATTTAAAAGACTTATTACCTTGTTTTACACTTAGAGAAGTCATAGTATTCACAAAAGAGGACATGATGATTGATTCATCTTCAGGGCAAACAGAAAGATTCTGAAAATCAAAAAATAATGATAAAAACATCTAGCTGGGAAAAAAACTCATAGGTCCATCAACTGGTAGATGGGTAAACAAACTGGCATATGCATAGTATGGAATATTTTTCTGCAATGAACATTCCTTTCTGGAATGAAAGGCTGATACACACAATAACATGGATGAATCTCAGAAACATTATGCTAATTGAAAGAAATGAAAAACAAGAAATTATATCATGACAATTTCATTTATAGGAAAAACTTTTTTAAAAGGCAAAAGGTGACAAAGAGCAGACAAGGGGTTGCTGGGGGTCTAGAAAGGGAATCAACTACAAAGGTGCAGAAGAAAACTTTTAGTGTTGGAAATGCTCTACATCTTGACTGGTGATGTTACATGAATGTATACAGTTGCCCAAATTCAAACAGTACACTAAAAATGGATGGTTTTTATCATATATAAATTTTACCTCAACAAAATTACAGCCAAAAAAAAATCCCTCTTAAACTGGCTAAAAAAAGTGAATATTTGATAACTGCATGTAAAGTAGATGCTAAATGATTAACTTTTTAAAAAGTGGATGCTTAGCTCACAAAAAGCATAAATAATTTTCAAAACATTAAGACTTATACAACAATGTAAATGTACACAATGTCCTATACTATACACTTAAAAATGGTTAAAATGGTAACTTTTATGTTATGTATGTTTTACCACAATTTAAAAAAATTTAATACCTATTACAATGAACTATTTTAACAGGTTAATCTTAGTTCTAAATTTAAATCCTAACAAATGGTTAAAAACAGTATGCACATACTTTACAACAGAAGTGGGTGGTAAAAAGCTCAGACATTTGAGTTAAGACCTGAGTTCAAATAGTGGCTCTATTATTCATGAACTGTGCAATACTGATCAGGTTACATAAGGTCTTTTTTCTTCACTATACCTACCGTCACAAAGTTGTTGTACAGAAGTAATATACTATCAACAAATTTGCCAACTGTTAATATTAGTATTATTATTGCTGCTGCTACTACTATTACTATAATCCCAGAAAAAATAAAAAATTAATTTTCTCAGTATTGTTAAAATCCAATTTATATAAAAGACACCAAAAGACATGGAGTGACTTAAAAATTCTAACACTTTAACATAAATCTGTAAAATGTATTAATAACTATCCAACTAGTCCTAGTAAGTTTCAAAATGCCATGAAACCAAGAGTCTGGTTTACTTTTTTAGATTGTGATAGCACAGTAGACTTTGGTTTATCTGGTAAGTAATAATATTCCAAAAAAACCTGCAGCAAAGCAATAACACTCTAAGCATAAAATCAGCTTTTCTATCCCCCCTTTTAATAGACATTATTAAAGGAAGCATATGAGCCCCATCTAGTGGATAAAAGAAATAAACTAGTTTAGGATAGTAAACTATAAACTGTATATAATCCAGGGTAAACAATTACATGAACAATTTTTTTTTAATTTGCATTTTTAGGTAGGTTTGAAAGAAAATTCGGATTTCAAAGTATGGTTATTTATGTGAAAAACGAGTAGTTTTAGAGTAATCTTAATATAAAGATAATTCATGCTGCTCTTCCTCTGTACCATATGTTAGCTTATAGTAGTTTACAGACATCTGATTTTTTAAAATGAAAACACTGAAATATTATTTTCCTTACAGTCAATTTATTTGGAATAAAAATAAAAAGAAATCTATATTAAGATTAAAAAGATTGAATCAAGAAATTATGGAAAGCAAAAAAATGAAAAAAAAGCTAAGACTAAAAATCAATAGAGGAAAATCCAAACTGAAAATAAAATTAGGACATTTTATTAAACTATGACATCTAGATGAATTTTTTTTTTTACTGGCCATTCTCTAACACACTATGCAAAAAGATTTATCTTCTGTTTTCCTCTAATACTTAATTATCAATTATAATGTCTCCATGAACTCTTCTTGATCTCCATAGCCACTGCCCAAGTTCAGGCTCTCAACAGCTCTCATTTAGCCTACTACAGTAATTTTTCTTCTGATCTCTCTGCATCCTCACTTGGCCCCCAACAATCTATCACCAACACTGAGTCAGGATGATCTTCCTAAGTATTAAATCTGATTTATGACTAACCTCCTCTTTTGCAAGACCCTCTATAATTTGGTTACTATACCTCTCCACCCCCAAGATAAAGAATTATTCCCTGCATGTGTTCACTATGAGCTTTATACAAACGTAAGCATAATGCCCATCACAATAACTACAACAAAATGTTTTTGCCCCTCTAGATGATGATCCCCTTAACAAAATACGACCATGACTTATTTACATTTGTATCTTCACCACGTGGCAAAAGATTACTTTCGTAAATGTTTACTGAGCAAATAAATCAGTTATTAGAGAGGAGGGAAATAAGGAACAAAAGGGAAAATATGACATAATTTCTTACCTGCACAAGTTCATTGAGGACAACAGCATCAAAGCCAGAAAGGTACTGCACGTAATACCTCTGCATTACAGGTCCGTATTTCCTTACATGTGCTCTAAGCTCTTCCATGTAAAATATTAATTCAGCAATGTGCCTTTTTAAAAAAATTCAAGAAAAATATTTCAAAAATTAAATTCACTGTTATCAAGGAAAATATGAAATGCCTTTGATATTGCTACATTAAGTTTTTTCCTTAGAAAAAGCATTGTTAAATATTTAATGTCAACTAATTTCTTTTTATATTATTTCATATAAAGAAAGGAATCATGGAAAGCAAAAAAAAAGCTAAGAATAAAAGACTGATAAAGGAAAATACAAAATAAAAATAAAATGAGGACATCTCATAAACACATCATTAAAAAATCATAAATGAAAGAAGATTACAGTATTAGGGAGAAGTAAGATTTTTCTGTATGCTCTTATTTCTCTGATTCATTTACCTAACTTGTATTGAGGGACAGTGGACTAAAATGAGAGAAAGATATTACAAATGACACATTTGCAACTCCATTAGGATTCTTATTCAAATTTTTGTGTAGTACATACTTTTGAAACATGAATTCCATAAGAAATACTATACTATAGCAAGAAAACAAACAAGACTTCTATGACCACCTAGAGTACTAAAGAGAAAACATTTAAAGCCCTAATTCTAAGCTAAAGTTGACTTTGCATTGTAATTCATATCACCTAACGATATATTATAAATATTCCCTCCATTACGACAAATATGAAAAGCCTTAAAAAAAGTTTTTAAAAATAATGTTACTTTAGTCCCCAAATTCCAGAGCCCATAAATCAAAATATACAAAAAATATATTTTTTAAATGTTGTTAACTTACTTATCTATAAAGTCATCTGCACTCTTCTTTGGCATGTTATCTGCATGACGAAGTAGCCAGATAATTTCATCACGGGCAAAGGATAATGCCATAAAAACAAAAAGTGCCTGATAGATATTAAAAAAATAATAATAACATTATTTACTCTCATGCAAAGATTAAAAACAAAACGTATTCATAATCTTTCTCCAAGTGAAAAGTCATTAGCAAAACTGATAATACCAACTTTAAAAGACAGAAATGAGAAAACAGAGGAAAACTTCAAAGTATGTATCAGGGAAAGCATGCACATAAGCAAGATGTGAGGAAAATGCAGGAAGGTCTGATTTACGAGTGCCAAGTCAGCAAACCCACTCTCAGCTAAATATAAAATCCTCTTATATAGTCCCTGACTCAAAGTTTAGTAAAATTTCACAGAGAAGAAAAAATTTTTTTAAATTTTAATATGACACACTGATTGTAGTTGAAATAAGAATTAAATCAATTACCTTGGGACCTAGCAAGCCAGGTTGATCAGAAAGGACAGTAGCCAATTCTTTCAGTGCAGACCTATAGGGAAAGACACCCACCATTACAGTTTATCTTTTCTAGTAAACTTATTATTGGCAATTAAATAACATCATTTCAGGGTCAACTTCCAAATTTTTCTTAGGAAACAGAAGCCCTTACAAATATCTCTTATGTGTTTGTCATTAAGTGACTTTCCAATCTCACCTTTATCCCTGCCTTTCTTGTGCTGCTTTTTAAACTATGCTTATTTTCTTCTCTCTAGCTATCAAAATCCTACCCAAACTTCAAGACCAATTCTTCAAGAAGTATTTCCCAATATAAAGATGTCTATTTCTGAATAATTTCTGCCAGTTTAGTACCATACAGACTAACACTCTATAAACTAGACTGTGAAATCCTCAAAAGTAAGCACTGTTCTATTGTATACGCTTGTCACCCCCACATAGAATCAATAAATATAACTTAATAAATATCTGATAATCTATATCCTCCTTTATTAAGTGTATTCCTATTAAATACATAAAAGTGACTAAAAAGGGGCTTCCCTGGTGGTGCAGTGGTTGAGAGTCCGCCTGCCGATGCAGGGGACACGGGTTCGTGCCCCGGTCCGGGAAGATCCCACATGCCACAGAGCGGCTGGGCCCGTGAGCCATGGCCGCTGAGCCTGCGCGTCCTGAGCCTGTGCTCCGCAACGGGAGAGGCCACAACAGTGAGAGGCCCGCGTACCGCAAAAAAAAACAAACAAAACAACAAAAAAAGAAACTGACTAAATAAAAGCTATATTCAATTAAGGTATTGGGATGAAATCTATTTGGTGCTACTGTTCAAAAACAGAAAGATGAGGAAAGGACAATCATAAATATTCATGTACTAGGTATCTTAAAAATAAAATACAAATTAGAAAAATTTATTCTCATACATTAACAAGGAAAAAGAAATCACAGAATATTCTATAAATTCCAACTCCTCATACTATTCAAAACATACACCATTCCAAAAAAGTTTTAAAATTTAGATAATCGCAAAAACTAAACGGCCACACACACACCACACACACCATATGCCAAAAAACTAAAGTATTGATAGAAGAAATATGCAACACCAGAAATTAAGCTGTGACACAACAGATCAATTTTAGAAGACACATTAAAACCCAATCTTTGCCTATGTGACCTTAGTTCCATCTCTCTAAGCTTCAGCCTCTCATTTATAAAGTAGGGATGATGACACCTGACTCAAAAAAATACATCTTTCATGATGCCTAATATATAGTACCTTTGCAATGTCAGTATAATTCTAATGACAAGCTCTCTTTTAACTTACAATAATAAACTCATCTGGTGTAATATCTAAGAACAAAGTGGGCAAATGTTTTGATTATTTTACTACACAGGGTCGCTGCAAGGAATATTAACATCGAGAGAAAATATGGAGTACTATGGCACGTGTTAATGAAGGATAAGAATTACTACTCCTTACTATTTATACCTGTTTTATATAATAAATAAAGGGAATAAAAATGCCTTCTTTTAAAAGATCTTTATAAAAGATAGCTGAGACACCATATATCTGCCTAGGGTCTAACACATGAATAAATCATAATCATATGTATTTCTGTAGGTCAGGAAAGAAATTCTAACACATTCCAAAGTATGTTATTTGTACTAGAGAATGATTTTATAATAATATAAGCACTTTATTCAAGTGAAAAAATGCACGGGAAATAATATACTACAGTTAGCAATGAATAAAGATGATTTAAATCCCCAATATCCATTTTACAGCCTAAACCTAAATTCTAAAAGTTCTTGTGGTTTTATATTTTTACCTGTGACAATGGTGCTTATCTTTTCTCTGCCTTATAGAAATACTGATGGATCAGATAATGTTATCTCTACATTACCTAGACTTACTGGAGAAACTATTCTATACAAGTATATCATATATAACAATTAAATGAAATATCAAATTATTCATGAGAAAATTGAAAAGTTGCTCAAACATCTTAAATACACTAATTTATATATTTACTAATAAAATATATTTACTAAAATTTGGGAAAGGTATGGGATTAACATATTTTGAAAAGTAAATATCATTTGGGAGAGTGTAAAGATATGTCAATTTTCATGAAGTATCATAAAAATCATCATAACTTGCAAAGTATTGGCACCAAAGCATAGTGGCAATAAGAGAACTGAATGATACCAAAATAAAGTCCTCTGTATAGCATTCCTTAGAGCATTTTTGAAAACAATTCAAAAATACTTAAAATCTGTCTGCATTAGCACCAATACAGAGATGTTGGTGTTAATACACTGTACTCTGGTACAGATACAGAGGTTATAAACTTATTCCTCATTGGTTGAAAGTCCTTCACTTCTACGACCATATCTTACACACCATTAATCTGCACTCACTTCAACAAAATAATGCTTTAAGAAAGAAATTCTTGATTAAAAGTTCCACAGGTAAGTTAGAACTACTTACGCATGTGACACAGCTGCCTCTTTGCATTCTCTTATGTCATTAATACGCTTATTATAGCTATGAGCAAAAAAAAAAAAAAAGGAAATATGTTAATCTTAATTTGGTCAATAACAGTAAAAATAAGTTAGTCAAATACTAGTCAATTAAAAATGTCTTATTATCAACAAGAAAAACTGGCCTTCAAACTGGAAATACATGGAAGAAGTCTATCCACATCCTTTTCTAGCACCTTAAGTATCCAATCAACTATTCTTAGAAAAATAAATCTCGTATTATATTAAAATCCAGTAATAAAATTAAAATTTACCACGCAGATTTTTATTAAATACACTTCCTTAAACCCCCAATAGAGACATTAAAATTATACTTCTAATATAATTAGCAGTGATTTCCAAAAATTGGAAGTGCTGAAAAAGTTATTACTTCTGGCTTTTTATCACTTTTGACTTTTTATGCTATCTCGTAAGCATAAAAAAATTTCTCAAAGGACACATACTAGTGATCAATACTAGTGACTGTTTGGGAATATGGCTTTTGTGGTGGAGAAAACTGGGGCAGGAAAGCATTTGACTACTTTAAATCATTTTAAGGAACAGAATTATGGGTGATTTTTACTCACCATTTTTAAAAAAACACTTTTTTTTTTAAATTAAAAACATTTAAATAAAAGAAACTGAACACCAACATCAAACAGTTTAAAGGTGCCATCTGAAAAATAAACGCTAATAAATATGTTAATTTCCTTACTACTAAATGCAAAAACTCAAAATTCCTAAAATGTTAAAGAAAAATTATCTTCCTGACAACCTGGGTAAAACCACTTAGACAAAGAACTTCAACTTCTAAATTAAGTACGCTAAGATTTTTGTGTTCTTTAGGGAAATATCCAAAATACACTAATTCTGTAATCACTGACTTGTATAAATAATGAGCTTTTATACTTGTGGTCTGACTTGTAATTACTATAATAATTCACATTTTAAGTTGGATTAATCACTCACGATTTAATAAATACAGAAATTCTTAAATACAGAAATTCTTTAAATACAGAAATTCTTAAATGGTAAATTTAACAAAAATTTGCGTAACAAGGGAATTCCCAGGCAGTCCAGTGGTTAGGATGCAGGGCTTTCACTGCTGTGGGCCCAGGTTCAATCCCTGGTCAGGGAACTAAGATCTTGCAAGCCGTGTGGCATGGACAAAAAAAAAGGCGTAACAAAAAGACAATCGGTTTCATGATGCCATTAAACTTATCTGTACCATATGTACCATATGCTCACTCGATATATGGAGACTGTCTGGTTCTAAATGTTTACATATATTTAAATATAATTCCACAGAGAGGATGTCAGTATGCTAAGACATCACATAAGTTTCAGGATTTTTGAACTGAATCAATCAGAAAATGACAAAGCCCACAACGACACAGGATATTTCCAGGTACTCCACCCTATATAATAAAAGGTGAACTAAGAGTTGAAAAATACAGAGGGTACTGTTTCTCGTACTATGACTGTATGACTGAGAGACTACCTGCATGAGAATGTCAGAATCACTTATGGTGACAAAATCAAAACAGTGATCACTTGAGAAGGCTAGAGGGAGAAGGATCAGGGGTGGCAGTACTGATCAGAAAGAGGCACAAGAGAATTTTCTGGGGATAACGGAAATATTCTGTATCTTCATCTAAGTGGTCACCAAGAGTATTCATATGCAAACTTGTTGAGCTGTACACCTAAAATTTATGCATTCTTCTGTTTGTAAATTTACCTCAATAAACTACTGGGGGGTGGGGGGAGGGCAGATTTCTTTAATCTCTCTAAGATACAGATAAAGGAGATACAGAAGGTTAGAGGTGATGCCCAGGAACCTTGATTTTAATTTGCATCCCAGGGTACTTCACATGCACACTAAAATTTGAGATAGTATAGTGGCTTAAACTGTCAGTACTAGACATAGCTTTACGTTTCAATAACTAATATATTTTTTAAAATCTCAATTTCTTTAGGACATTACTGAATTGGATATGAAATAAATGTAGGTAAATTTCACTTCTATGAAGCTGACAAACCCAACACAATTATTCAATATTTTCAGGTTCGGGGGACCCCCAGGATATTTTAGATGCTCCTAATTTCAAAACATTTTAATACCAAGTCTGAATTCAACAAATGCAGGCATTAAAAATTCCAAGAAAACAAATTTGAGGATCATTTGTGTTACAGAGAATGAATCACTTAGAATACTTCCTTATTATAAGGAAACATGATTTCCTTTTTGCAGTGTCTGACTTCTGTACTTGTTATAATTAATTTAATAAAGTGTTTTTGATTGATTCATATACTTTTCTAAATGCAAGATATTCTAAAATACACTTGTAAAATAGCACTTCTAAAAATTTCAACTCTTAAAATGTACATTGTGCTTTTAGTAATATTTATGTCTAAAACCACATTACAATATGCAAAACAGTACATATCTTCTTTCTCCTAGAATGTACATTTTGAAAGGGCAGGAACACTAGCTTTTTTAACCTGTGAAATTACCTGTAAAAAATATCAAGATCATTGCTAAAAACAACTTGGTGTGACTGGTAAGTTGGTATAGGCTATATCTTCTTGTGTAATATGATCCTTCTCTATCCCCAAAACTTTAATAGATATTCCACTCACTACGCTTTCCCAAAAAAGACAAAAAAACTGAAAATGCCATACCCTCGTATGTTTACGAATAAGTCTTCCGCAGCTTTGTGAATGTGGAAAACTTCATCCCGAAAGAGAGAGAGGCAAGAGCTACTTTGAAGAGCTAGCTTCCAAAGGTTCAGTGCTGTTGCATCAGTATTTAGGATCCCATGGCACAAAATAAATCCAACTTTAAACAAATGAAAAAGAAGTGCAAATATAAAAGTATTCCAAAGTTAGATTATTTCAGTTACAGGGTAGCTTTTTAAAAGTAAAGAAACATTAACAAATCACTAAACTGAGGCTTTTAAGTGACAGTTAATAATACATATACATACAAGATGCCAGCAATATTTCTCTTTTTCAATTATAATTTTCTGTACTCTACAAAACCAGTGCTTTGAACCTACACTGATGAAATGGGAAAAAATGTCACTTCTGGGTTGAGAAGGAAGTGGTTTTAAAAAATGAGTAAAAGATACTTTAAGCCAGAGATCAGAAGCTACCAATTTACACATAATACAGTAATCATTACAGTTTTTACAAAAACTGAAAAAGCTAATCTACTCTTCTAAATCTCTAGAAGAAATTAAATAACATCTCACATTTTCATAGCAAATTATAGTGACTAAATAAGTCCTCTGACATGATTATCCTATAGTGTAGAAAGAACCAATGGTATCCTTTTCTTATAATTGAAGAAATGATGGTCAATGACTTGACTAAAGTTATACTAATAAAGTATTAGAGCTAGACTTTGCCTCAAGCAGTTACCATTAAAGTCCAATATTCTTTCAATATATTACGCTGCTCTCTATCATATGAATTTGAGTATCTTTTACCTTCTGTCATCTAATTTAGAAATCCTACACAAATGTGTAATGCTATATGTTTGTTGATGTCCTCCCTAGTGCTCTATTCTAGGCCATAAAACCTTATCTTTCATTCCTTCAACATTACTGAGTGCGTATTATAAACTAGGTACTGTACTGGCCAGTTACAAATTCAATCCTATTTTCTGTGAGATTTCCCTCTGATTCTCAATAGTCACTCCCATCTTTAAACTCCTGAATCGTTAACATTTAACTTGCCATTTGTCGTTTATCCTTAGCTCAACCTTCCTTTTAAAGGGTCACTATACAAGCAAGCTAACTCTTAAGCATATATTGAGGAGTCATACATACAGAAGTACATTGGGGTTTCCCTGGTGGTGCAGTGGTTGAGAGTCCACCTGCCGATGCAGCGGACACGGGTTCGTGCCCTAGTCTGGGAAAATCCCACATGCTGCGGAGCGGCTGGCCCCGTGAGCCATGGCCGCTGAGCCTGTGCGTCCGGAGCCTGTGCTCCGCAATGGAAGAGGCCACAACAGTGAGAGGCCCACGTACCGCAAAAAAAAAAAACAAAAACAGAAGTACATTGAACTTCCTTAAATTTCCTGAAATATATTAAGATGTTTTTCATACAACAGGGCCCCTAAATGCAAGCCTAATTATTTGATCTAGTACGTAACCAAAGAAATAGAACATACTGTATGAAAATTTTAAAAATCCTTAAGAATAGTTTTGTAAAAATTTTTGCCTCGTGTACTGACTTTTTTTTTTTAAATAAATTTATTTATTTATTTTTGGCTGCATTGGGTCTTCATTCCTGTGCACGGCCATTCTCTAGTTGCAGTGAGTGGGGGGGGGGCTACTCTTCATTGCGGTATGTGGGCTTCTCACTGCAGTGGCTACTCTTATTGTGGAGCATGGACTCTAGGCACACAGGCTTCAGTAGTTGCGGCACGCGGGCTCTAGAGAGCAGGCTCAGTAGTGGTGCCGCACGGGTTTAGTTGCTCCGTGGCATGTGGGAGCTTTCTGGACCAGGGCTCGAAACCACGTCCCCTGCATTAGCAGGCAGATTCTTTTTTTTTTTTTAGCAGGCGGATTCTTAACCACTGTGCCACCAGGGAAGTCCCATGTACTGACTTTTTATACTCTAAGCCCCTTAGTACAATGAAATTTCACTTAGTGCCTTGTACCTCAATGTATACTTAGATTCACAAGATTGCTGTTGATAATAAAATTTCTCTGAGAATATTATCAGTTTCATTATGGGTTACTGTATATTTTACTTTTTTAAGATATGAGTCACATTATACATTAAGATATATTCATTTGTTTATGATAAGATCAATAAAAGGTAAATTAATTTAAAATAGCCCAAGATTAGGAAGACAATTTATTAATTGAAGCACACATTAACCTCCTTTCCCCACTAAGGTCCCAATAAAAGGACAGGAAAAAAAAATTTTTAAGCCATAAAAATATTAGAAAACAAGATAGAAGACCAATACTAGACAAGAAAGTTGGAGAAAATCTTTGAAGAAAGACTGTACTATCAATTTAAAAAGAGGTCTTTCCCAAGGAGTCCTCTTAGTGTAATTAATAGAGTAAGAACGGACCCTGAAAAGAATATCAGGATAAGTTATGGTGTAACTGCATTCAAAAGAGCAGGGTCCTCAACATTCCAGACCCTCAACAATGCTTGGTCTTAGGCTATAATCTAGACTAGTGACTCTGAAACTTTAGCTTTCTAGCAGGATCACTGGGAAGGCATATTAAATCACAGGTTGCTGGGATCCATTCAGAGTTTCTCATTCAGTAGGTCTAGGGTAGAGATCAGTATTCTGCATATCTAACAAGTTCCTAGGTGATACTGCTAGCCTTTGAACTCATCTAGAGCAAAGCTCTAAAGAAAGTAGACCATCTTCTATATAAGGTCCTAGAGTGGGAATTGATGTCAAAAAGAGAAGTGCACAGTTTGACCTAATTCTATTAATTCTACTCAAGGCTCAAATAAATGAAAGCAGCAAAACTGAGTAAACATTCCTTACTTTGGGCAATTGCGGTTATCCCAAATCTGTTTGCCTTTTCCATGCCCAGGTATCCTCCCCTTAGGGTAGTCTGCCTTCTGACCCACATCCCTGCTCATTACACAAAGCCTGCATTCAGCATTCCCTTTTAAGGTAAAGACTGCGGGGAAACAGTCCTATTTAATACTAGAGGTCACTCATGCCACCTAACTCTACTAATCACACTAGTTCTTTATCCACACATCCATAAACATAAAACAGTCAAGGATCACCATACTTTTGAGCAAAATCAATACTCTGAAAGTTGTGTTTTTAAATCAACAAAGCACGAAAACCTTAACTACCATTATAAAAGAAAATATAAACATCCAAACCTGATCAACATAAAAATTATAATTAATAAAAATGGCCAAGGGCAGGGAGTGTGTGCTAAATTCTTCCTCTTTCATACTAATAACAGTGCTACTCAAACTGCCAGTGCATACTGAGATTAAGTAGAGAACTGAGAGTATTTAGAAACTTTCATTTAGAAAACTTTTCATTGACAGCAATTTATAAGTAGAAACCTAATAACAATCAAACTGTTAGATTAAATTGAACCTAATAATTAAAATGTTGGCTTTTATTTTCTTTGCTTATTACTTTATTTCTGATAATTCCAGTAATTCAGTTCCACTGTATTTTATAAAAGTATCAATCTAAAAATCACTAAAAAAGAAAAATTGGTCCTTCACCAGTTTTAGAAACAGTATAATAAAAAGTCATCAAATAGTACCTAAATGTTAATAAATTAAGAAACAAGAACTATAAGAACTAACAAGCACAAACTGCTCAAAATTATTCCCCTCTGCCAGTGGACCTGGGGTGGTAGAAAAAATATTATAGCAATTCTCATTTATATTATATCTCTGTGTCTATTTCTCCCATAGTTTGTGAACTTCCTAGGAGTGCAAACAAGTAATTTTATCTCCCATGCAAACATATGAGTCATCTATTACATATACTAAAGTAAATTAAGACCAAAAACTTTAACTGAATAAATGCAATATGAAGAAAATCATTAAAAATAAAATAAAAATTTAGTTTGGATGGCCGTGTTGAGTGGAAATATAACGTAGACCATCAGCCTTGGATTTAGTGTGGGTTCTCTGTCTTTGTCATTTACTAGCTGTGTGGACTAAACTTTAGATTCCTCATCTATAAAACAGACCATCTACCCTAACAGGGTGAGTATAAGGATTGAATGAGGTAATGTACATAGAAGTCTTAGTACAGTGCTTGGCACAAAAGTTAATACATGTTACCTGTTATTTTTCTCTAAAACTTAAACCTGAGGGGAATATCAAAAACTAACCAGTTTTACTTACAGATAATCCATTTTTCCATGGCATCCAAAGAGAGATATTCGCAAGGCATCTTAAAAAGAGAAAATATAAATTTGTGGCTTAAAGAAATTCTTAATATTCTGTACTGAGTCACTCCTCCTCCTGTTCCTCCTGAGAAGTCTGACTACTCAACTCTTGGTTCAAATACCACCACAACATATTTGAAAAGTTGGATGAAAGTTTTATAACCTATATTTATACTTGCAGCCCATAAAGGACAGTGAAAGCTGTGCCTCTTTCACATTTACACACCCTGAAACTTCCCTTTAAAAAATACTGTTGCTAAATTGTTTTCAATCTGGTAAATGACTACTTCCAAATTTCCCAAGTCTACTGCAGAGTTTGCAGTATTCCAAAGGATAAAATTTTAGTCAAGTTAAAGAAAAGATTTATGTACCTCAATGTTCACTGTCTCACCCAAATCAGTAATTACGTGTGTGTATTCTCCATATGTGTAACATCTATGTTCATATACACAGAAAAAAGCTTGAAAAGAAATGTAACAGAATACAACAGCGATTTTCTCTAGTTGGTGAGATTTGGGATGATTTTTGTTTTCTTCTTTCTAATTTTCTGAATCTTCCAAATGTTCTACCATAATAAGGCTAAGCAAATTTTTAAACCTTAAAAGAAAATACTCGTACTACTAATTTTACTAACAGCATCAGAATCTAGAAATACAAAAACTAAATGGTATGATTTAAATACTGAGCATTTTACAATAAATAAACTTCACTGACAGGCTAATACTAATTAGAAGAAAAACTGCAACAGCACTGCTTAACTGGTATTTTTTAAAAAAATCAACTTTACTATTTTCATTCAAAAAAGAAAATACAGAACCATACAGTGTCAGACTGTGCAGGGTTAAGCATTGTACTGGGTGCACTGATGAGACTCAATAATTGAGCATTTCTCCACTGGTCAGCTGAAAGATTCCTTCGTGGATACACCATCTGAAGAGAAATCAGTGCATCTGAAAGAGACTAATTAAATAGAAAAAAAGAAAGTTGAGGAATAAAATGGTTTTTTTTCAATTTCCACTTAAATTCCAGCTACAACTGCTGTGTGTTTCTAACTGTATCATCGTAAAACAACAAGAGCGTAATTACAACTACGCTCCATATAATATTTGAGGTGGGTTCCAGTTATCCTCCTCTAGATTTTTTTTTTTTTTTTAACTTCATGAAGCTACATAGATTCTGCATTCCTCAGCAAAAGCTTAGCTCAAGAAATCATGTTACTTTCTTCAGGTAAAAATGTTTGGCAATCTTGAGATCTTTATTTCAAAAAGGGTAGAGAGTCTAGGGTAATCATTTTGTTCATCACTTTCTACTCAATAGCTCTCACTGAAAGAAAAAGACATTAAGGTTACATGACTAAGTGTTAATAGAGCTCAACATGTTTCATATTTCTTCAAAGAATGCCTTCTAAAAATAACCCACTGTACTTTATCTTAATAAATTACTTAACTTCTATTTGGTCTATTAATTACAGCTTTATTATCTAGGTATTTAATTTTTCATCTCATCTGATTCTTGCTTGCTTTTAACTATTCTTTGCTATTCACTCCTCCTTCCTAAAAATTCTGTACGAGTGGTTCTTTAATCTGGCTGCACATGAATTGCCAGGGAAGTCTGTTCAGAAAAAGAGAATCCAGGGCTCTGCCTGAATCAGAACCTCTGGGAGTAAAGCCCAGGAATCTGTTCTTATCACACTCCACCAAGTGATTCAGAATAGCTTTTTAAATTAAATTAACTGAATTTTAACAAATCCTAGCAAATACATGATGGTCTTTCTATCAAAACCCTGAGATATCACAGAACATCGGAAAAATCAAGATTAGGAAAAAACTGGTCTAATCCAAATGGACAATTCTTCTCAAGTAATTATTAATTGTCTAATATAGGCTAATGGCTACGGAGAACTTAGAGATCCAACAGCCTTTAAAAGAAATTTTCATCAACTAACTGGGAAAAGAACCAAATTTGAAGTGGCTAACTAAAAACAAGGCCATTACATGATTGGCAAGAAGTTAGAAACAGATCCAGAGAAAAAATAGGAAAGGAGTAGGGAAGACATTTCTAGGTGAGGAAAAAGGACTATCAAAATCAGAGACAGACAACAATGATCTGCTCAGCACTCTGAGGAATCCTGACACTTTCATCTACAATGCTGATTTTTACTTCAAAACTAATGTCATCTACTAGCCTCTTTAAAACTAATGATTCAACTAACTCCAAGACATTAAACCTACATAAATTTGTAGGTATAATACAGCTATGCAAAGAAATTAAACTGGAAATGCATCTTCAGAATTTTCATGGGAGTAAGAAAACTGAAGGAAAATTCTTGCTGTCAACTGTATGTCAAAAAAAAAGCACAGATTCATACAAAATACTGTATTACTAAGAAGTCTAACTCCGGGCTTCCCTGGTGGCACCATGGTTAAGAATCCTACTGCCAAGTCAGGGGACATGGATTTGAGCCCTGGTCCGGGAAGATCCCACATGCCGTGGAACAACTAAGCCCGTGCGCCACAACTACTGAGCCTGCGCTCTAGAGCCCGCGAGCCACAACTACTGAGCCCACGTGTCACAACTACTGAAGCCTGCATGCCTGGAGCTCGTGCTCCGCAACGAGAAGCCACTGCAATGAGAAGCCCACATACCGCAACGAAGAGTAGCCCCCACTCGCCGCAACTAGAGAAAGCCTGCGCACAGCAACAAACCCAACGCAGCCAAAAATAAAATAAATAAATAAATTTTAAAAAAATTCTAACTCTCATCATTCAAAGAGAACAATGGGCCAAGATTCTAATATCCTGGGTTTTAGCTCTGGTTTTGCCACTATTGCTACCAAATGGCTTACTTCATCATATCACTTCTCCAGCCTCAATTTCCTTATCTATAAATAATGAGGATACCTGTACATTTCCTTGATGTGCTTAGGAACTAGCCCTCCCTCAGAGAAGCCATAAAGGCAAGACTCTAAACCAAAACTATTTCATTAAGAACTATTTTTTTAATATACCATAAAAGACAGATATGCCAAATTATCACAAAACTCCTATTGTATTTCTCTCATTAAGAGACTATATTATAATATAGCTAAAATTTATTAAATACTGTGTATCTAAATACTCTTTACAAAGTAACTCATTTAATACTGCACTTTTACAGGTAAGAAAACTGAGGTACACTGAAGTTGGTTAAGTAACTTGCCCAATATTACACTGTAATTGGCAGAGTTGGGATTAGAACCCAAGCAATCTGATACAAGTATAGACATTCTCAAATACTAAACTTCACTAACTCTATACACTATACTGAACCTAAAAACTACAATGGATCAATATATTCCTGAGTCTCTATTCACTATTCTGAATCTAATTAATGAGTTCTCTGGTTCACAATTAGATAAAACCATGCATAACTATTATTCATATCTCATTATAATTTTCTTTCTTAAAAGTAGTTTATCACTCTAATTATCCATCCTTAAGCTATCTCATATGCCTACTGAAGCACCCCTAAAACCCAGCTCTTACCTTGCTATGGGGTACAAATTCTTCCATCATCTTCTTTAAAGGGTTTTCATAATCCACAATCATCTGACCAAGACGTGGGTATTCTCGGTCACTTAAAACAGACATATCAAATATCACTGAGTTGTAAGCCATAAAATTAATTGGGAATTTCACACAGATTTTTATAATGCAGGTTTACCTTGCTCCATGGGTCATTTCATGTGCATAGTTGTATAATCCAATGATTGCCTTCCTTTCTTCAATTCGAGACAGCAGTATCATTAGTGTTGTATACGTTATGATCAAATCTAAGTAGTTCTTCGTTAAATCAAAGTTTACAGTCTAGGGGAAAAAAACCATTAAGTTCAACTCCTTCCTATTTCACAAACTTTTAAGCACACACACAAAAATCTTCATGGCAGCTACTGAAAGCTAATAATTTTCTATAGTTATTTGTTTTATCCCCATTTCTGAAATTCTATCTAATTCCTTTCACCAAAAACATGCCCATAATTTTGGAGTTATAGATAATAGTTTTGTGCTTGTGACACAATTTTATGGATAAAACAGAGTCTGTGATCACCCTATTCAAACTGCTAACAGTTTAAAAGAATAACCAAAACCAGAAAAATAATAAACATGAAAGTAAATCTCACTAAGCAAGAAAAAAGGAGTATTAAATAAATAAATAGGTTCACCATTAAGTCAGTGGAGACGTTTTTCACTTTGACTTCCTATATCTAGAAATTGACTTATTAATAAAGATTTTTATCAAGTATGTTTTTTATAGAGAAAAGGATTACTTGTGTAACCTTTTAAAATTGGGCCTATTAAAGTACTAAAATTAACAACTATTTCCGAATATGTACAAGATTTATATTCAATGACAATCAAATAAACAAGTGAAAATACAGTATAACTCCTTACCTTAAAAAATACAAGCCAAATTAACAATGCTGAAACTTTATATACTAATCATTTACATTTTCTCTAAAGAAAAGCATTTGATCCTCTTAGTTCTACTAGAAACAGACAGAAGAATTGGAAATTTTTCTGAAAATAATACTTACAATATCAAAGAAGACTTGGCAAACATCAATAGTATTCAGCAATTCACAAACATGGTCCTGAAAATAAAAGTTTATTTAAACCTTTTACCTATATGAATACTACTAAATTCAGAAAACACACACAAATAAAATGTATTTTGAATTTTTGTTCTAGAAGAATTCTAATTTTATTATCTACAAGTGACAGAACAATTTATATTATTAACAAATATCAATCTATCTCTGAAATGTTAAATTCTATACATTAAAATACATACCTTAAATTCCATAACATCTACAAATGTGAAGTAATATAATGCCAGATTTTTCAGAATCTCTGATTTTTCTTTCTGTAGTTGTGCAAGCTGTTGCTGTGAAAACAAAATTAGACTGCATTGTTTACTGAGAACAAAATTATTTAGTTTTACTACAAACTATCTTTTATGATTGCTAAATGGAAGCACAAGCTTTTAGGACAATATTTCTAGATGATTAAGGCTCTTTTAAAAAACCAAAATACTTGAGACAGCAACTGCTAACAGTGACCAGCAACTGACATTGTGAGGCTATAAAACGAATCAAAGCAGATTAGTACCAAACTGCACTACTATTAAGGAAAATTGGAAAGTGTTAGGAAAAAATAATTATCAAATGAACTCTTAAAAAAAACTAAAAACAACTCATGAGCATGACCACATTACTAGAAGTGGGAGAAAAGAAGGTGAAAAACATTATAACTTACACTACAAAAAACAATATGCTTTATAAATTTGGAACTTACCAAAAAGAACATCCAGGCAAAGCCACGTTACGCATGCAAAATAAAATGTAGATACAAACATAAAATACAGTAACGGTTCCCTGACCAGATCCACAAAACACAATAATACATTAAAGAAAAGCAAAAACCAAAACAACAAAAAAGATATGAGAAAGAAGCAAAACTAGAGTTAAGACACTGGTAAACATATGAAGAAGGAAATGTGAATACAAAAGACAAATATTATTTCAATCAACTGTATTATTAAATTTACAAAAGTCCTAAGTTTTCTCTTTAAAACAACTATTAATATAATTTCTGAAAGAATCCAGCCATATTTAACATCATATATCATATCTGCCAGAATTCCAGAAAAACATCTAGAACCTATCTGATACTCTGAATGTAGTCTACAGAATAGAAACTTCCACATCTTCCACTTCCTCTGTTAGAAGAGCAGAATCTCAGGCCCACCTCAAACCTACCAAATCAGAATCTGCCGTTTAACAAGATACCCAGGTGATCTGAATGCACATTAAATATAAAATAATTCACCTAGAACATGAGAAAACCAGAAAATATGAGAAAGTGCTTCAAAATATCAAACTTGCTATCAAAGCCCATACAGTTTTGAGGCCCTCAATCAGTTCTTAAACTTACACCTACACAGGAGTGTTGGGGGAGAGGTGCCTCTACACATAATTGTATTGAACCATTATGATAAGTCAGAAAATTTACAATAGTAAGCATAACATCAGGAGATTAAAAAAACTATTAAAAGACTATTTAAAAAACAGCAAGCACAGGGGCTTCCCTGGTGGTGCAGTGGTTGAGAGTCCACCTGCCAATGCAGGGGATGCGGGTTCGTGCCCCAGTCTGGGAAGATCCCACATGCCGCGGAGCGGCTGGGCCCGTGAGCCATGGCCACTAAGCCTGCGCGTCCGGAGCCTGTGCTCCGCAACGGGAGAGGACACAACAGTGAGAGGCCCGCGTACAGCAAAAAACAAAACAAAACAAAACAAAAAAACCCCAGCAAGCACAGCATTCTGGTAGACCCAACTATTATAAAGTGCCCTAGACACGGCAGTCCCTGAGGACACGTAAAAAAGTGTAAACGAAGTATCTCTACCCCTATATGCCAGGCAAACTGAGATATATACTTATAGTGATGTATGTAACTGTTCTAGCTTTACCTGTAGGAGTAGTTGACTTTATTTTGAACAATATGTTTCAAAACAATTCTATGTTTATAAGCACACTTTTAATCATTATCACTCACAACATCAAGCAGACACCTTTTTAAATGATTCTGTTTCCTCAGATTATACTATCTTTACATTGCGCAATAACATTAAACATTTACAATTGATGTCTTAATCCTTTCCCCTACTTTTCAGTACTTTAAATTTGAACTTTGCAAGGTAACAGGTGAAAGTAAACTCATAATATAATAGGATAAAAAGCAAAAGTATAATTTGGTTGCTACTGGGTTAATTATTAATAGTGCCTCCTTTCAATTTCAGTGTCCTAGTTTGGACAAAAAATGACACAGTCACCATCTTATTATGGGCCTTAAGGATCTTTTATACAAATTCTCATTTTGCATATTAAGAAGCTAATGCTCACAGAACTTAAAAGAATCTTCCCAAGGTTATATAACTACTTAATATGACAAGGCCAGGATTAAAAATTTCATATCCATGCTCCTAATAAAGTGTTCTTTCTACCATTCCACATGCCCCCCATCTTCCTTTTTAATAGTAAAATCTCATTATGGTCTCAATTTCTCATTCAATTTTATTTCCCCCAAAATTGTATGTAACTAGCCTCTACACTGGCTAAAACAAATTTACTGAACTAAAAGGATATCTAAATTCAAAATAACTACTCAAGTTTTTAAGACCCTACATAATTTGGTCCTAATTTACCTTTCCAATCTAAATTTCCCCTACATCCATTCACACACTATACAAAGTAGCCAAAACAAACTATTCACTATTTTCTATACACATCTCATGTTTTCTTTACTGTTTCCTCTCTTGAAATGTCCAAATTCCACCACTCACATATGTCCAAGTCCTACTACTCCTAAACTGCTCAATTTAAATGTTGACTTTCAAGAAAACATCCCTGATTGAACTTTTTCCCTCAGTGCAAATAACATCTCCCTACTCTAAATGTGTATAATTTCTAATAATATCACTTTCTACCTTATATCAGTTACCTGCAACACTATGAGACAGTGTATCAAACTCCACAGCCCATATCAAACAGCTCTGCACATAAAGAAGTACACAATATAAACATCTATTAGATGAGTGATTAGGACAATTTTAAAAGACCTTTATATGTCAGTGTCAGATGACATGTTTTAGCAAGTGACACCCACCTCTTACTGTGAAATCACGGCTAAATGACTTAACCTCTCAGACTCTAATACCCCCATTATCAAAATGGAAGCTGATGTGGGCAGTTTAGCCAAGATAATATACATGAGAACACTTTACAGTGCCTGGCACCCAGAAGCTGCTCATTAAATATTAAGTGAATAACAGAAGGTGCTCACAGACCACTTCTCCAAAATAAGCAATAATAAAGCTGTTTTAAATAATCCCAATACTACTCATAGTACTTCTAATAAGACCTGATATTAACTGAGCATGCTCTCTTTGCCAGGCAGTGTTCCAAATAACATACAAGTATTTCACAAAATCCCCTCAATGTCTCTACATATAGTTACAATTATGTTCCCTATTTAATGAAAATAAATTCCATAAAGCTCTGCATGAAAGTTCAACTATAACAACAAAGAATAAAAGTGTCTAGAACTCCTGGGCTTCAACTGAAAAAAAATGCTCCATTTTAGTTTTTAAAGTGAAGTAGAGCAGACACTACCAAAAAGTATTTAACTTATAGGTTCAACATCCAGAACAAGTTTTTTTCCCATTATCTCTTTGTTTTATAGTAAATAAAAAGTAGGAAATGGTTTAAGAATATAGATCAGTAATAGACTGTTTGATGCTACAGAACATTAGAAAAGTACAATTTTGAGAAATGATTCTATCAATATTCGCTAACACTTTAAAAGCATACAATGGATACATGGGTTAACTATATGAGCAAAATATCTGTACAATGCTTTCATTAAAGCTTCTAACTGTGGATCATTATTCTTAAAATTTAAGTAAAATGTGTAGAAACAAAATAAACAGGATAAATAGCCATGCAGATCACAAAATAAGATCACATCTTTGCAATGAAAAATCTTGGTAATTAATCTTGGTACAATTAAGAAGCATTTTCTACACAAAATATAAGTATCTAAAAAACTGATTGAAATTTAGTATTTACTAGCTTTCATTCTTTCAAAGAAAAGATACTAGCAAATTACAATAAGGAACCAATGACTAAGAAAGCTAACTCACAGATTTTCAACATAAAGGAAAGTGACTGAAGTCCTTTATTCACCCATTTCAAATATTCTTTCATCATCGAAACTGCTTATGCATAATAAATTATTTTTCTTGCCTAAACTATGCTAGTATTTTGTTGCTCTTAAAAAACAACCAAGTACAGAAGTTTGGTTCAGGGAAGGCTTTGTTCAATTTCTTAGTATGATATTCTAAATCAGGCTTTTCTTTCTTTTTTATTTAATTTTATTACTATTTATTTATTTTGGGGGGGCTAAGTTGGGTCTTCATTGCTGCATGCAGGCTCTCCCTAGTTGCAGTGAGCAGGGGCTACTCTTTGTTGCGGTGCACGGGCTTCTCATTGCGGTGGCTTCTCTTGTTGTGGAGCACAGGCTCTAGGCCTGGGGGCTTCAGTAGTTGCCGTGCAAGGGCTCAGTAGTTCTGGCTTACATGCTCTAGAGCACAGGCTCAGTAGTTGTGGCACATGGGCTTAGTTGCTCCGTGGCATGTGGGATCCTCCTGGACCAGGGCTTGAACCCGTGTCACCTGCATTGGCAGGCGGATTCCCAACCACTGTGCCACCAGGGAAGTCCCTAAACCAGGCTTTTTAAAATAAGAGTGCTGAGAGGCTCTTTTTTTTTTTTTTTGTGGTACGCGGGCCTCTCACTGTTGTGGCCTCTCCTGTTGCGGAGCACAGGCTCTGGATGCGCAGGCTCAGCGGCCATGGCTCACCGGCCTAGCCGCTCCGCGGCATGTGGGATCTTCCCGGACCGGGGCATGAACCCGTGTCCCCTGCATCGACAGGCGGACTCTCAACCACTGAGCCACCAGGGAAGCCCATAAACCTCTTTTAAGGAACTGTCCAGCCACCACTCTACTCATCAACACTCATGTGGACTACTAATTATAGTATAGAAGCCTCCTAACTGATCTCTGTACTTCTGCTCTTGCCTCTTCAGTCTTCTCCATATAGTGGCAGGAGAGTGGACATTATAAGGTAACACACTACCCTGAAGAGATGATTCCAATGAAGGTTATACAAGATATTAACACTGGATGAAGAGTATACGTGAACTCACTGTATTATTTTTGTTTTAGTCTAATATTATTTCAAAATAAACGGTTTTAAAAAAAATTTTTAATAGTTTCCCATCACACTTAAAATACAAAATCTCTTACCAATGTCTCAGAATAAAATCTG